TCTTTTAAGGAGATTCAAAATTATTTTGAGAATGATTGGGTGATGTGTCATGCTAATGAAGTCATGAATACTCAGTGAAAAAAATTATATGATGCATTTGGCAACTGTTATGAGAATATGTCATTTTGTTTGGTTTTTGTTTTGCGTTTTTATCGGGGGTTCCTTTAAATTGCTCATCCTCCAAGAATCGTCATTTCCTTTTGATCGACTCAATCCTTAGGTCATGTTTATGTCGGAGTGACTTTCAGCTTGCTCGCTTGAAACTTATCTTCTTGGTGGTAGTTGTACGAGGGTATACTTTGTGGGGTGAGCCGGTGGTATATATTGCTTCATTCTTCTTGTCGGGCATGCTTGGGCCCACATATTTTACAGTTGTGTACATCTTGGTATGTGCGGTATATTGGTTCCTCCTCCTTCTGGCCATGAAGTTGAAGGATAGTAGGTTTGCTGGTTGGTTTAATGAGATTGAATGCTCTCTAACTCCTTGAGATTTCTTCATCAACTCATGAGTGAAAAGTTGATTTTCGATTCTTGGGTACTCATACTTCCCCTTCTTCCATGCTGCACTATTTTTGCCCCCGAAGATCTGTTGCCCACTTTCTATTCTCCGGAACAAAGAGTGACTTTATCAATCTTGACTTAAGATGAAAAATGTTTGAAAATGTTAATTGGAGAATTAAAAATGAAAGCCATATCAAGACTTTGCTTTCGAGAAGTGTGTGGAAATTGGATAAAATCGTTTTTGCGTGGTAGTTGTCATGTTGCAAAAAAAAAAAATAAGAGGAGTATAACCAAGCCATGAGAATATCAGTAAGCCCTCACTCTCACTCTAAATTTCTAGTATGAGAATATCAACAAGCTCTCGCTCTCACTCTTGATTTCAAATTCACTCATCTTATAGGTGTTTTAATTTTATGACACTTCGGCTACCATTAAGATTCTGGTCACCCTGAGATGTCTCCTTTTATGTTGATGGCCAACTGTGCTCCTGCGAAGATTTACTCGATATGGGAGACCTTTGGGTAATTGATTTAGGAGACTTCCATATGGCGTTGTCGTAGACGGTCTTGATCTCCAATGTGATATGATCCCAAATTGCCAACTATTCACGTCACAATTACTTGACGAAGAAGCTATCGAAGTTGGGAAGAAGAAGGGCATAATATGGCTAAGTCAAAATCCGTGTTCAGGGTACATACTTTGGAGGCATGGTTCTCTCAATTGGTTGGGTGGAAATTCAATTGTAAGGGTTTGTTTTGCAGATTCAGTTGCCATCTTTCCAATGGTATGCTTTTGGGATCCAAATTATTTCATTAAGATTGTTTTCCAAGGCCTCAAAGTTGCTACCTCAAAACTGGAAAACTGCCAGAAAATGGCTAAGGCATAAAACTGTTTTGTGAAGGCTACTTTGGAGCTCGATTCAAGGAGCATGGATGGGATTCAAGTCAAAGGACTTCTACAACATGAAAGTAGGAATGTTTATCTACCAAGGGAAGGAATTGGATGAAGGATTGAAGTTCTGGAAGGCCTTGAATGAAAGCGGCGAAGTTAATACGAAAGCTGCCTTTTGACTGTTTTGATGGCAGCTTACTTCTGCGCCGAGAAAGGAAGTTTGTGGCCGAGTTTTGTAGTGTTTTTAGAGTTTGTTTTTACCTTAATTGTTTCCTAGTTACATTAGGTTCGTATTAGGTTTTATTGCCTTTAAATAGCTTTCAATTTCACGTTGTAAATCATAGAGTTGAGTTGAATGAAAATTGCTCCTTTGTGAGAATTGTGTTCTTTGAGAGTTCTCAAGAATCAAATCCTTGAGTTAGTTTTGTGAGGATTCCATTACTAATTCGAGAACCCTTGTTAATCTTTTCTGTGAGGATTACAGAATCGGTTTACGAGTTTTCTTATCAATCAAGTAAACACCTTGATTGTGGCGGAATTTTACCTTTTCCATCATTATCGTTCGAGAGTGTGTTTGATGCGTTACTTTGATCAAAAGCACCCCTTGGTGCTTTATCAAGTGGTATCAGAGCCTGGTTTCGATCAAGGGACCTGTGGGTTATGGGCCCACCTGATATGATCCCAAATTGACAACTATTCACGTCACAATTACTTGACGAAGAAGCTATCGAAGTTGGGAAGAAGAAGAAGGGAAGAATTTGGCTAAATCAAAATCCGTGTTCAGGGTACATACTTTGGAGGCATGGTTATCTCAATTGGCTTGGTAGAAATTCAAGTTTAAGGGTTTGTTTTGCAGATAAAGTTGTCATCTTTCCAATGGTATGCTTATGGAATCCAAATGATTTCATTAAGATTGTTTTCCAAGGCCTCAAAGTTGCTACCTCAAAACTGGAAAACTGCCAGAAAATGGCTAAGGCAAAAAACTGTTTTGTGAAGCCTACTTTGAAGCTCGATTCAAGAAGCATGGATGGGATTCAAGTCAAAGGGCTTATACAACATGAAAGTAGGAATGTTTATCTACCAATGGAAGGAATTGGGTGAAGGATTGGAGTTCTGGAAGGCCTCGAACGAAAGGCGCGAAGTTAGTACGAAAGCTGCCTTTTGACTGTTTTGATGGCAGCTTACTTGTGCGCCAAGAAAGGAAGTTTGTGGCCGAGTTTTGTACTGTTTTTAGAGTTTGTTTTTACCTTAATTGTGTCCTAGTTACATTAGGTTCGTATTAGGTTTTATTGCCTTTAAATAGCTTTCAATTTCACGTTGTAAATCATAGAGTTGAGTTGAATGAAAATTGCTCCTTTGTGAGAATTGTGTACTTTGAGAGTTCTCAAGAATCAAATCCTTGAGTTAGTTTTGTGAAGATTCCATTACTAATTCGAGAACCCTTGTTAATCTTTTCTGTGAGGATTCCAGAATCGGTTTACGAGTTTTCTTATCAATCAAGTAATCACCTTGATTGTGGTGAAATTCTACCTTTTCCATCATTATCGTTCGAGAGTGTGTTTGTTGCGTTACTTTGATCAAAAGCACCCCCCTGGTGCTTTATCCCAATGAAGGAGGCTTTTATCCGACATATCTTTGATTGTAGGCGTCTTCTTGTTTTTTAAAATTGTTTATCAACAATGAGGGGTGGACATGTGAAATCTTGACTTATCCGTATAAAGCTTCTCGTAGAGGGATTTCTGCTTGCCACCGAAGTATGAGATTGACCTAATGGGTTGAGAACCACCATTATCCCAGACATTTTTTTGATGGAGACTTGTTCAAAAATGTTGGGAGTTTTGGGCATATTTTGTGAGTTTATCTTCAACTTGTCTTGCCCCCTGTCTTTGGAATTATGGTTTCATGAGTCGAGGTTTGAGATTTTGCAAATGTAATTTGATTATTGATAACGTTGTATTTGCACATGTTTGCACCCTCGTCTCTAGATCATTTTGGCTTGAGTTTTTGCTTTCTTTGACTATTTTACGCTAGGTTGTGTTCTTTTGTCACATTTCAGGTCTTAGCATGTAAATTGAAGCATAAATAAAATACTTTTACTAAAATTCCCTTGATAAATGTAACATTTCTGATACCAAAATGTCACATTTCTAAAGAAAATACCAAAATATAACACCCTAACCCGGCCGGGTACTACTTTTACTAAAATGCCCTTGATAAATAAAATACTCAAACCTTAAATTGCAGCGGGAAAAATTTTCATAAAGAAAATACTGAAAACACACACTTGCAGTTCAAAGCAAAGCCCTAACATGTGGGCAAATTAAACTCAAACTTTAAAATCTCCATCTGATCTCCAGTCTGTACTCATAATCATACATGTAAATAACTAATAATCTCTAATGTTGTTGCTACTGAAACCTTGACTAAGCATCCTCTGTGACGCTTATACTGCCCTCCTCTAGCTGCCTGCCCTCGAATTCGCTGCTCGCTAAATGCTCCTCTAGCTCTTCAAACTGGTGAGTGAGATGGGGTCAGTCTACGCCCTTACGTTTAACATCTTATTAATACTTTAGTATTCTTCTCTAAACACTTAACTTTTACTAGTGGAAGTCGTTTTGTACTTCCATTCTTAACAATCTTAACTCATAAAATTCTTCGGGAGTTAAAATTACTCTCCCTTCTTAAAGCTCAAAACTTGACTTAAATCTTTTGACTGACACGGGGATCTCTCACTAGCTAGTCCGGTTGCCAACTCATACGTATGAGAAGCCATCCAGACTTTCCTTAAACTTAAAATTAGTTAGGGAAGTCGTAACGATTCATCCCCCTAACATCTTAAACTTATCGTGGTGGCTCTTCACCACGATTCTCAAGGGCATAACTGTTGCCCATCTTAAAAGTCTCAAGAGCATAACTGGTGCTCTATCTGAAAGATCTCAAGAGCATAACTGCTGCTCTAACTGAAAATCTCAAATGGCAACGGACTGGCGCTAGTGACTAAAAACACTTAAAACGACTTCACCTTCTTGAAGGTGAGTTACTTCTTAAAAAGAACTTGTTTCTTAAACTTTAACAATAACTCAAACATAATGCTTTAAGGTAAATAGCACAAAATCACCTCAAATAGCACAAAATCACCTCAAATCATAGCTCAAGCAAGGCACAAATAATCAATCACGCACATAATCAAGCAACGGTAACCAATTTGCTAAAATACTTAAAATCATAATACTTAAAAGAATACGTAAGGCGTAGAATTCCCCCTTTACACTCACCTTACATATTCCTTATTTGAGTGAATCTTCAACCCGTCGTCCTATGATAACCCATCCAACTGTACCTCCATATAATCTCTACAGCCGCGATAAACAAGTTAATCTCTTAACCTCAAATCTGGACTTCAACTCTACACAGGGCTAAATAATTTGGTAATAATCCTAGGATGGGTATTTTTATACGACGTGGACCCTTCTTCACACTTTAAATCGTCTTCCCACTGTAATCCCCACCTAAATCCTATATCTCTGCTACTAAGTATTAACCCATCTCTTCCTACCTACTTTGTCATTTACCAAGATATATAATAACGAAACCATTCCTAAGCTCAACCGCAAAGGTAATCGTTAATAGCTTTCATTATTAACATGACCACGTCATTAAACGCAATCTAAGGGTCGATCGTACCTCGTCATCAATTTCTTCACGTGGTATCCGAGGTCGAGCTCTTCCCTGTGGAATTCTTTGTTAATGTTTGGTCCGTATCACCCATTGGCATCACGCCGTGGCCTCCGATCCCGCACGCGCTTCCATTCTCCGGCGGCTGTCTCCAAGTACGTTCCCGGAGCTTGTCGATCGCCCACTAATCATCACCACTCCTTCATGCTCCAGTTGTGACCCTATTGTGTCAATCCTTCTCCTTTCTCGGTTATACAACCGCCAGCAAGCTTCGACGCGAGTTTAACAGACCAAGCCTCTTCCTCTTGGTTCTTTATCATTATTAAATCCTTCCTATCCGGCGAGGCGATCCACCTTGAGTGTGAAACCAAAGGTTGGTAATGGATGCGATTGCGAAGTCTCGAACCTTGAAAGGTCGCCGAGTGAATGATGAGAGGGTGGTCATCTGCTACCATCCAGCGCCATTTCATGAGAATTTATTTATTTATCAGCCACGATGTTCCAATAATCAATGCCTGGAAGTGATCGCCTTGAGAGGCATGAAGCTATCGGCGGTGAGTAGGGTAGGGATTAAGAGAAAAAATGGAGCGCAGTAGGCGCGATTGACTCTTCCCAATTAAGCTGCATCTGGCATCGTCTCTGCCATTTCTTTTTCTTCCGTAACTGCCGAATGAGATAGCGGCGCCACTACCCTTCCTCCTTCCTTCACGTTCCTGCGTTTATATATAACTATATGTAAAAGGGTTATGAAAACCCTCTCTTTGATGATTCATGTCTGACACCCAGCCGCCCTTGTTCTCCAACTTAGCGAGCAGGTCCAAAAATGAGAATGGACAAACTCAGCCCACTCACGATAGCCATTTTCTCTCCATCAATGTCCAATTTTGGCCCGTTTGTTAAATGGGTCTTGCTCCCTTCAATTCAGTTTAGTTTGATCTGATTTTTAGTACATAATTTTCGACCCATTCTATATATTTATTTCCTTCGAATATGAATCCAAATATCCGGGTGTAACATGTAGCGTGTCAATTATTGACTAGTCGAAATTCTTGATTGACCTCTAAATGTTGATTATGGTGGATTTTCAACTTCTGACTTGCTCTCAAAATGATGAGTACCTTGGATGATGTGATTTTGGCTATAACGGTTTTCTTATCATCAAAGTTTACTGCTTGAAGGTCCCTCTTTGCGTATCTTGCGATTGATCGGGCAACACTGATAGAAACTAGCATTTTTAGTACTTCGATTAATTGTCGGTTATTTGCTATTTCGGATTCTTTGGGATGTTTTGGGAAGACAGTGATAAGTCGGGTAGTAGTTGGTAATTATTTATTTATATAAACTGCTTGTAAGTGGGATTAGGGCATTAAGCAAAAGATTAAACCTAAAACCTAATACCAATTCCCTTCCTCTCTCTCTGTCATCCAACTCTTCTTTCCCCTCTCATCCTTTGAGGCCGAGCAGCACTTCTTCTTCTCCCTCTCCCAATTCCAAAATTCTTCCTTCTGCTTCCCAACTACTCTTCCCACCACAAGGATCACTACCTCATTGATCCCCACTTTCTAATCCCTAGATAGAGCTCGATTTTCGGGGTTCTATCATTTGGTATCAGAGCCACGTTCGCGATCAAACAAAGACAATCAAGATGGTGCTGACGAAATCCATGACTGCAGCAAAGAAGGCAGCCAAGGCGGTGCAGGAGCAGGCTGCAGCTGGGGCGGCAACGGGACTACCGTCCCCCGGTGATGGCGCGCACGTGGTTCCCCATCCGCAGGATGAGGAGCTGGTTGATGAGATGATCGGTGAGGAGCTCCGCATAGACTTGGAAAAAATGGTGGACGCAATGGAGCAGGAGCGCCGGTCCAGGCAGAAGGGGGAGTGGGCCCGTGAGGCGGACTCGCAGAAGTTGTGGCTCACAATTGGCGAGCTCAAGGAGATGATGGCAGAGGTCCTGGGACACGTCGGAGGTGGCCGTGGCGGTGGGACCGGCGGCGATGGGTCAGCGGCGGGAGCCGCGGCGGGTGGAGCCGCGGCGCTGGCGTTGGCGCCGAAGGCACCGGTGGTGGCGGCAAAGGCGCCGGCGGTGGCGACCAGGGGGAGGCGCTAGAGGCAGTCGCCGAGCCCGGGCAGGGTGCGAGTGGGGGCGGAGCAGGAGCAGGCCCAGTGCAAGCAGGGTTGGGTGCGGGCCCGAGTCTTTTGCCTACGCCTATAGCCCAGGAGATTGCGGCCCGCAAGGGGAAGGCCAAGATGCCAGGCTATGACGCGGATGGGCCTCCAATGAATGTTGGGCCAGAGATGGTGGGCCACTATGCGAAAGGCGCCAATGGGCTAGGGTGGTTGGGCCGGGATGACGAGCCCGAGGGCCGGGTAGGATAGTCGACCAGGTTGGGCTGATGGGTTCGGTTCCTGCAGGGCGAACCGTAGTGGGCGGGGCCGAGGCAAGTCGGGCAGGATCCGGTCAGACCGATACGGGGTGGGTCGATGTTGGTCGAACCGAGGTGAGTCGGACCGGACCTGGTCGGACAGGAACGGGACGGCCCGAGGTGGGTCGAACCGGGCATCGTCCGAGTCCTTCTAATCTGCAACCAAGAAGGGTGGACAGCAGGGGACCAGCTGGTTGGGAGGGCCCGCATGGGGTACCCTATGTTCCGGGAGGATACCAGAGCCAGCCAGGTGACTACCCGGGGGACTACAGGCATGAGAATCCGAGCTGGGCGTCGAAAAATACATACGGGCAGCCGTGGAGGATGCCGGGTAACGACGGGTATGGTTCGTATTATATTAACTATGAAGGAGCTGATGAAGTGGTTTTTCGCGCCAAGCCTCCTACCATTGAGTTTCCAATATTCAATGGGCAAGAGGATGCAGGTCTTTGGTTGTATGCAGCTGAGAGGTGGTTTAAAAACCATCTGATCCCGGAAGAGAGAAAGGCCTATCTGGCGTCGTTTTATTTGGAGGGTGATGCGCTCCAGTGGTGGGAGTGGATGGAGAGATCATACGCAGCGGCCGAGACTTTGATTACCTGGCCCATGTTTCAGGAGGAGCTTCGTTACTAGTTCGGGAAATCAGAAGGGTGGGCCCCTGAGCAGTTGACCAAGCTGAAGCAGACCGGCACTGACACGCTAAAACACAACACCAAATTGCGACCAAGTGTAATTGCAGTCCGGGAATGCAGTAAAGTGGCAAGTTCTATTATCAACCCGGGTCTAGATCTACTGCTTACTCCGTGATTATCTTTTATCTAGCCAACTAAGTCAAGTGATTGTTGTTTTAAGCAAAAGCAGTAAGAAAGCAAGAATTGGTACAGTTTTCTCAAGCAAAGAAGAGTCACTCTGGAATGAGTCCCCCTAGCTCCTTAGTTAGGTTTCAATTGTAATTATCCTGGGTTGATTTACTGTTGATTAGACTGCGGAAGATCTGACAGTAGCTTGGAATCTCTTAAGCTGACCAAGCCCTCTCAGTCTAACTACCCGGCAGACGACTAGTCTTCACCGGGATAGAAAGCTGAAGCAATAAGCACAGAACTCCACTACTGGAATTGGATTCCAGTACAAAGCAGTAAAATGGCTAACTCTCGTATAGCCAATCTCCTACTACCGAATGATGAGGCTCTAACAACCTAATCAGATTCTATCTATCTCAGGTTGCAGCAAAAATCAAGAAAAGCTGATTAGGCTTCAATCAATTCAATAAAACATGCACCATTCGATTAAAACCAAACAGTATAATCATCCCAAGTCATTACAATCAAATCCCTAACACATGGAACTAGGGTTCTTCTTACCCAAGTGAGAGAAGTGTTCTACTCCATAGAGAGAGAGAGAGAGAGAGAGAGAGGAAAACAGAATACAAAGCAGTCATACTCATAACAATGGGAAGAATCTCCTCTGGGATGATGATTTCCACTCCTAGGACGATCTCCAAGCTCGATTTGATGAAACCCAGCTCCAAGATTGCTTCTAGGATGTGTTCTTCGCACTTTCTCTCTCTAGGGCTCTGTTTTTGCTCTGAAAAATCCGATTCTCTCACTTGTGGCCCAAAATTGGGTAAAAACCAGCAAATCCCGATCACACAGGCAGGCCACAGCGACTCGCCGCACGTCCGATCTTCGTCCAATCGGCCCCGAACTCGCTCCCAAACCTTCATTCACGTACTAGGACCTGAAATATCACAAACAAGCAAAACCTAGCGTGAAATCGGCCTAAAACACGAGAATCAACACCTCAAACGGCTCCAGAATAGGGGCAAAAACATGTGCAATTAACGGTTTATCAGGCACTGTGCCCGATTACCGTGCTGAGTTCTTCAAGCTGGAGAACCAGTGCAAGGGAGTTCCGGATGACACGTTGTTGGGCCTGTGCATGGCGGTCCTCAAGCCCGAGATAGCGGTGATGGTCAGAGTATTTGAGCTGACTTCCTTGAAAGCTACTTTTCGTCTTGCAGGTGATAAAGAGGAGGAACTTGCCAGCTGGAGAAACTCCATAGGCCGTTACCCGAAGTCGAGTGGAGGTGGAGGAAGCAGTGGGGCCAGTGGTAGCAGTGGAGGAACATCGGCGGGAAATGCAGCTGGAGCTAATGCCGGAAGCGGGGGCACGGCGCCGGTGGCTAGGATGGGACCGCGGGCCATACCAAAAGGGTTCGTGCGACTGTCGCCGGCCGAGATCGAGCAAAAGAGGCGGGAGGGCAAGTGCTTCAATTGCTATGGCTGGTTCACCATTGGTCATCAATGCCCGAAGTCGGACCTGATGATGTTGGTCGGATGCTGGGAAGATGAAGCGGAAGACGCGGCCGAGGACGCCGAGGATGGAGAGGAGGAGACCTAGTGAGCTCGAGAAGCAACCTTGGGGACAAGGTTGATTTTTGAAGGAAGAGGGGATGATAGAAACTTGCATTTTTAGTACTTTGATTAATTGTCGCTTATTTGCTATTTCATATTCTTTGGGCTGTTTTGGGAAGACAGTGATAATTCGGGCAGTAGTTGGTAATTGTTCATTTATATAAACTGCTTGTAAGTGGGATTAGGGAATTAAGAAAAAGATTAAATCTAAAACCTAATACCAATTCCCTTCCTCTCTCTTCCTCTCTCTTTGTCGTCCAACTCTTTTTTCCCCTCTCATCCTTAGCTGCCGAGCAGCACTTCTTCTTCTCCCTCTCCCAGTTCCAAACTTCTTCCTTCTGCTTCCCAACTACTCTTCCCACCACAAGGATCACTACCTCATTGATCCCCACTTTCTAATCCCTAGATAGAGCTTGGTTTCCCGGGTTCTATCAAAGACTTTAGCTTGGTGAAGACAGTTGGTACTTTAAAAACTAAATAGGAGAACCTAATTTGTAAGTCCCACAACATTTTTCTTCTTCTTTTTTCCTTTTTTTTTCCTTTTTTTTTTTTTTGTGTGCGACTTACTTGACTTTGTTATGCCCCATCTATGCTTCTCTTTTTCCTTTTCCTTGAATAAAATTTTTTATTGACACAAATATAGTAAGGTTGAGAGTCTGTTTTGGTGATTGATAATGTGGGTGCCTCTTTTCGTTGGCTAGGTTGAATTGACTATTCTTTTTCCGTACAAGCGAGGATTCCGACGCAATGTGCTTGTTTGTATAGATGAGTGCTTCACGCGTGATTCCTTTATATGATAAATTATATCCTTGATCTTCCTCAATCTTCTAGTCACGAGACTCTGTGATTGTTTTCTTGCTATGGTAGTAATGTTTGGCTCCCTGTGCATCTAGTTTTGGTTATTTGACTTCATCTAAACTGAGCATCAATTTGTTGGCGAAAGTCGACTATAGTGGTGACAAGATTCTACAAGTAGCATGATGTTGTATACTCATTACACCTTTTGAATATTAGCTCACAATGTTTTTATGAACTCAAGTAGGGTGTTCATACTCTTAGAGCCATTCTTGGAGCTATTTTGGAGGATTCTTCACCATTGAAGCTCTATGGAGTAACTTCCCTTCACTTAGGTTTTGTGGAACCCTAGTTCCATGTGTAAGGATCTTTCTTGTATGAAGTTTTGGATGCTATATTGTGTTATTATAATCGATTGAGGCATGATTTATTGAATCAATTGAATTCTGATCAAATTCTCTTGATTTCTGCTTTAACCTATGATAGATAGAATCTGGTTAGGTTAAGAGAGCTTCCTTGATTGATAGTAGTGAATTGGTTGTGCGAGAGTCACTCAATTCACTACTTTGTACTGGAATCCAATTCCAGTAGTGGAGTTCTGTGTTCATAGCCTCAACTTTCTTTCCCGGTGAAGACTAGTCGTCTGCCGGGTAGTTTGACTGAGAGGGCTTGGCCAGCTTAAGAGATTCCAAGCTAAATTAGGATCTTCCGCAGTTTAATCAACACTAAAACAACCAAAAGGAATTACAACTTGGACCTAATCGAGGAGTTAGGGGGAATCATACCTAAGTGAGTTCCCAACTTGTAATTAGTAGTTTAGCCTTAGTTTAGTTAGTATAGTAGTTTAGTAAATCAATCATTAATCTGGTTTGCTAGATAATGAACTGAAGCTGAGTAATAGTAACTCTAGAGACACGTGGATTTGATATTTATTACTTGTGCCACTATACTGCAGTCCCTTTCATTGGTTACACTTGGCCATTGTTAGGAGTTGTGTCGTAGCTTGTCAAGTTTTTGACGCCGTTGCCGGGGACTTTCAAGATTATTAGGAAAGGCAGAAGTTTGTTAGTTTAGAATTTTTATTTTCTTTTCCGCCCTTGCTTTTCACTTGGGTGTTCTGTTTTTGTTGGTGCAAATCTGAAACATGAATTCTCATGGCTTCTCCAATCATTGGGGGTATCCACCACCACCCGAGTGGTATTACCCCGAGACTTCCTGGAGCAACCAACGAGGAGAAGACTATGAAGTCGGGTTTCAGTACCAACCCCCCTACTACGAAGAACAATCAGAACCCTAGGTATTTCAAGAAAAATCTTCTAATCAAGAAGAACTCCTCCCACAACCGGAAGGGCCATCAGATCTTGAGTTAGCCACAGCCTTCACGAGCCATCCGGCAGAGTCATGCTACACTCCACAGCCAGATCCAAACTATCACTTGAGGCTTCTCGTGTAGCAGATTGCTCGTTTACCTGAGAGATCCTTTCCCGAGATGGATCCTCATATCCAAGCCATTGTCCAAACTGACTTCTCCTTTCCTCGTGAAACAGAGGAGACCCTTTCGAGCATAAAGAAGCACATAGAGGTCATTGAGAAAGCTTGTGCACAGTTTTCTTAAGACAACCTTTATGCTACAATACAAGCGGAGAATGAGGAAGAAGAAGTCAATCATGAGGATGTCGTGGAACATACAAAGTTTGTCACGAAGAGCTCCCGTGATGATCATGATCAGCAATGTCCTGTTGTAGCCGACCATACCTTTCTGCATCCCACACCAAGCGCTGAAGAGGCAGGCATGAGTGAGGAGATGCAAGCTAATCTTATTGAAAAGATTGCATGGCGACTTGCTCTCCAATCCGTGCTAGAAAAAGAAGAGCGAGAAAGGACGAGGAAAGAAGTTGTGGAGGATGACGGAAGTGAATTAGAGGAAGTTCTTGATCTTCTCCTAGGGTAGGAATCAAATTCTAAGGAAGGAAGGGGGGTTGAAGAAGCTATTGGCGTCCAGGCTGAGGACGAAGTTCTGGTGGTAGAGGCTTGCACCGGTCGTGAGTTACATGCGATGTCTCCACCAAACTTCGAGGAGCTGTTTGGCAAGGACCCATTTGCAGTGTCTCTTTGCCAGACCAAGGCCACATCGACATTGGTCCTCTTGGTGAACGCGATGGTGGTCAGTCAATGCTTTGTGAGATTTTGTGTGATTTTTGTGTTCCGAATGCTCTTTCTCTACTTTCCTCCTGGAATGCACCGCCTGCCACGTTCACCATCATTCACACTTGATCTGGTAACTTCATTCTACCCTCCTTATCTATCCTCCATTGAGGATAATGTCGTGTTTAAGTGTGGGGAGGTGTTTATCTTTGACTACATAGATGAGTTTGTGTGCTTGGAGCCTAGTCCAATGTCCAATTTGATGAATTGAGGGCTCCAAGTACTGTTCCCTACAATAATGTGCTTAGTATGCTTTCAATTGTGGAGTGGTGTAGGAGTCACTTTCATATCGAGGTCTCTTGTACTTAGGAGAGGTAATAAGCCCCTAATTGGGTAGCTTGCATCATAGTACGCTCAACAACGAATTCAATAAAAGATTGAATTGAACTCGAAGCAACAAACTCAAAACAGAGTTTGAAAACCGTGTTTGGGATGGTGATTTTCGTGCAACTTTCTCGTGGAGAAAGATGCTCAAAGACTTAGTTAGAGGCTTGGCCACGATCAACGATTCAAGGTGATTACCTGAACGATACAAGCTCAAGATCGAGCCTAGAAAACCCTAGGACGATCTCCAAATTCGCAAAGCAAAACGCTATGGAACTCAAACCACTTGGTTTATTTGATTCAACATAAAAACTGTCAATTACAATGAAAATAACTAGCTTATCCTAGTGAATCCTAAGAACTCTTGAATAGTCCCAATTACATTCTACTTCGGAAAGGAAACCAAAACAAACATAAAAATGGAATAAAATTGAAACAGTCTTCTAATCCTAATCCAACTGGGATTCGGATTTCCAGGAAGAATTCCAGCTTCGATACAAACTTTGGCCTTCTCGTTCGAGCTCTTCCAATCATCAATCCAATCACCTAATTCCTTGTCATTGTAGAGTAAAAATTGCACTTGGATGTTGTTCAACTCTCCAGCTTCGACTCTCTTCCATACATTTCGAATAGCCCTTCAAAGTAAGGACCTCGAACTGGATTTGACACTTAGCCGTTTCTGGCAAACTTCCAGTTTCGACCTAGCCCTTTGAGAGGCTTTAAAAAAGACTCTTCTGACTTCACCTTGAATTCCAAAGCTCTCCATCTTATAGAGCAACTCCCAAGCTTTAAGACAAGCCTTCCTTTGTCCATTTTCATTGAAGCATTGGAGAGAATATCCTCGCAAAGTGAGTGTCCTGCACATGAATAAACACTTAGCCGAATTTGGTGATTTACTTTGCCAATGATCTTGCTTCTTGCTCAAGCAATTGTAGCTTGCAGGGTGGGTAAAAATGGATCATATCAAGAGGAACCCTTGCTGCCAAACGTTGTTTCACTCTGTCAAACACATAAACAAAACAAAGCACTAATGATAGTAATGCTAATATCTTCACTCACATATGAATATACTTGTCTACCTTTAAATTGTGCTCTTTCGATAAATCGTCTATGCTCTGGTAGCAATTTGCATAGTCATCATGGTCTTCCTCCTCTTTATCAAAGTCAAATTTCTTTCTTGTACCATCTCTTCCTCCAATCTCCATTCGTTCTGCACTTATTTCTTTGATAGCACCTTCTAGCCTCTCAAAACCATCATGCATCATCCCAGTCATATCTGTCAATCGAACTGACAATTGCTCCACTCTATCAGGAATGGACTTCTGATAGTCATTGACTTGTTTTTGACACACCACCAGCTACTCTTGTGTGGCTTTCAACACTTTCGTGATTTCACCCAAATCGTGATGCAGTCTCTCATCATGTGTCATCGTCTAAACAATTTAAAGAAAAATTCAAATCATAATTCAACTTCAAATTTCTACAATTGAACAAAATAGAAACGTGGTCGACCTGACAAATTATTAGGTCGACCTTGAAGACAAATTGTGACTACCAGAACCTTTAAGGTCGACCTCTGCTCTTCCTAGGACGACCTATCCAACAGGAAAATAACAATTCACCAGCAAAAGCAAGTGTAATATTAAACCGAAAAACGGATAGGTCGACCAGATAGCTTGAGTGGCCAACCTTTTGAAGCACACCATAGTCTTACAAACAAAGCCAAAGTCGACATTTAGGTTGAACAACCAAAACAAACAGAAACGGTCGACCTTGAAAAACATTAGGTCGACCTATTAGGTTGATCTTCATTACCTCGCAAGTACGGAATTCCAAGTGTTGTGCCCTAAATTCAATTCTGAACAATTGTCTCGTCAAGTCGATCTGATTGAGATAAGGGTCGACCGAATGGTATTCTGCACTCAACAATATATCAAATTAGACGGTGGAAATCACGCATTAGAGAAGATAACGGCGAATGCTACATTAGGTCGACCTCACCTTTGACGTGGTCGACCACTTTCAACACGTACAACAGCAACCGCGAACGATCTTATTCACAAAGGCTCTAAATCGGGGGGGAAAACCTAATTCAGAGTTTTGGTGGCTTTGAATGGGACTTATATTCGTATTTATAGAACTTTCGGACGTGAATGGGTCGACCCAATTTGTTTTCTTGTCCAATTGTGGAACCTTCCTGGTGTTGGAATCCTAATCCAATACGGATACGGTGTGCATGCGGTCGACATCGTACGAATGCGGTCGACCTATTAGGTGCAAAAGGGTCGTCCTATAAGGTATTTGGGTCTACCTTTCATTTTGTTCGACCCCCAAAGAGGTCGACCATTTTATTTAGACGGTCGACTGCGTCGCTGAACCTAACATTACTGAAATAGCACATTCGGTCGACCTCCTTTAGGATTAGGTCGACTGAAAAGTCTATGTTACGGTGGCATGCATGTCATTGTAGCAAAGTCCTAATATTTATGTATGTGTTTGTTTAAAATTTTCAATAAAATGTAACTTATTATTAAGTTTAGTAAAAATGAGTAGAAAATTTACTTGATAAAGTTTAATAAGATATTTTGATTTAAACAAATACAATATGTATCACTCTACAAACATAGATATAATATAAAAACAAAAAGAAACATGAATTATAGAAGAAAAGAAGAAAGAATCATTAAAAGAAGATAGAGATAACACCATAAATAGATCATTAACTAACTTTTTTGTTTGTAAGGAAAAATTTTCACCTTGGCAACTTGTGAACTCTTCAAGTGCTTATGTGGCAAGAAGCTGCTTTTGAACAACCATAATATATAGTAAGATAAGATAAGATAAGATGTAATGGATAAAATATTCAAATTCATCACATTGATATAGTATAAAAGTATTTTACCATTACTTAAGTTTTGTTATTTGATTGATATAAAATTAATTTATACGCTATTAATGAAATCTTCAATTGAAATAAATCTCTATTTGGGTTATTTTTTCTCAATTATTTTATTCAATTTTGTCCAAGAACTATGAAGTTTAAACAGAAGCCTCTGTTACTGGGCTCTCTCTTTTTCAGTCCGCTAGTTTCCATTCAATTTTAATTTTAATTATTAAAAAATTAGTTAGATTTTTAAAAAAGGACACACCTAGTTTACAACCTGGCTCCGCCACTGTTGGAGTATAGTTTCATGAACAAGCATATTTTACACACATCCAATACCAATGATCTATGTCTAGAGTTACTTGATCGATCTCTGCTCTACTCTAAAGAGCAAACTATGCAGGTAAAAACACACTGGAAAAGATGCAAGCGACGCAAAACTTATCTTGTGATCCACAATGATCTATGTCTAGAGTTACGTGATTAATCCCTACTCTAAAGAGCAAACTATACCGGCTAGAACTCACTGGAAAAAATCGCAAGACGCAAACCTTATCTTGTGATCCACAAGACGGCATTGAGGCTAACAGCAGCACGATCTGCCTGCTGCACATTATAGTTTATGAACATGTCTACCCATCTGGATATAGCTGTAAGGCAATTCGAGGAGATATTTGCATACAATGTTACCTACGGGCTACATGTGTAGTCAATAACAAAAGAAGCTAAGCACTGTGGTTTCAATTACAATACAACAACAAATGTGTATCTACAACTTCAGGAAGCACTTCTGAGAGTTCATTCCAAACTACTGCATACTGTTCTTCACTTCTTCGACACCTTACAAGCATAGAAGCAGGTAACTCATGGACAAGATGCCACATGATCTCATGAACTTCCCACAAATGCAAGAAAAGCTTTGATCCTGCCTTCTACAGATAACTCGTGGCTGCCTTCCAAAACCAGATGCACGAAAAAAGAACTTTGATTTCTGACTTGGCAATAAGGTCTCTGATGCAGACCTGGGGCTTTTCAGAATTATTTGGCTTCTCATCTTAACAACAGGAGATGTTGATCCATTTGGACCCTTCAGAGTATCTCCAGGAAACTCCAACACGTTGGAATAAGAGACCGAGAGATCTAGGTCTTTCGGGAACTCATCCTCTCTTGTATCTAAAGCAACCTTAGAATTTGCTGCTGCTTCTTCTCCTTCATTCACAATTCTCTTGCCTTCACTTGTTAAACCAACGGCTAGCCAGGCATCTGAAATGAGTTGCATAGTGCTCTTCCCTGGAGACACTCCTTTCTCCTCCATCACTTGCAGCAACTCCTGTGCTTTACATGGCTGTCTGGCCTCTCCATATCCCCATATTAGAGTCTCGAACGTTTTCAAATTCGGCGAAATCCCTATCTCACACATCCTCTCGTAGACTTCCATTGCAGTGTCCATTTCTCCAGCACTACACCAGCCGCTGATGATGGTGGTGCATATTACTAAGTTTGGGCGCACGTTGTAGTGTCCCATTGATGCCAGAACCGACTGAGCATTCTCTGGTTCCCCAGCTCGCACGTAACCTTTCGCGAGGATGCTGAATGCATGGATGTCTGGTTCGATTCCAGCTTTCATCATGTCGTTGAATATCTCTAGGCATTGGTCCATGATACCTGTGGATCCCCATGCATCCATTATCGTGCTGAAGGTCACCACGTCAGGCTTGATTCCGTACTCCTCCATAGCATCAAGTACCTGTAACATGGTAATTTGTCACTGAAAATTCAATCAACTATAAGAGCCACTCCATCCATTTCCATGAAAAATTTTGACAAAAATTTTCAAGTTTAGCAAGCCAACTCATGGAGATTAATTACAAAAATAATGTCTAAAGAGACCCTCATTAGCCAACGTGATAATCCATTTCAATCCATATTCAATCCAGTTCCAAACCCGAACCTCAAATCGACATAATCACAGTCTCCTTATCCTCCATGTTGCGTTTTCTCCAATTATCACCAATTAACACCAACTTCGATGACAAGTTCATTATGAATAAAATTTCAGAGACTGATATATTAGTGATCCTAGAGTTCAGTGGCGATTATCACAACATACAAATGAAGCTAGTTGGAGCTCTTATACACAATGCTATAACAATATAACACTTCTCAGAGTAGAAACTGACCTCCTCAACTCCATCCTTGTCCAGGCTATCTACAAAGCCTTTAATGAGACAATTGAAGACGATGAGATTTGGATGCACTCCAAGGTTTTCCATCCTGTACACAAACCGGGAGGCTTCCACCATATTACCTTCATTGCAATATCCATTCACAATGATACCACAAGTCCGCTCATTGGGCGCCAATCCATTTCTCTGCATCTCAGACAACAAGTCTTCTGCTCTGCTCGTCATGCCTATCTCAGCGTAAGCCCTAGCTAGTATGTTAAATGTGACAACATCTGGCTTCAAACCAAATGCAACCATCTTGTCTACCACATTCCAAGCTTCATCAATGTTTCTCTTGTTACACCAAGCTCTAACTAGTATATTGTATGTCCTCTCATTTGGCTTCACGTCTTCTTCCTTTAACAATGACTCCAACAACTCTGATGCTTGTTCGGGCTGACCAGCATTTCCATATGCTTTGATAAGAGTATTGACAGTGCTGGTGGTGGGCTTACATCCACTGCTCTTCATCTTCTGGAAAGTTATCATTGCATCTTTTACATTTCCAGATTCAGAAAATGCATTGATGATCGAGTTGGAGAGTATGGAATCAGGTTTCAGCCCACTTTCTTCAACGTTGGATATCAAAGAGAGGATGGACTTGAAACCCCTTTGACGAGTCAATGCAGCAACAAGAGTGGTGTAGGTTAGAAGGGTTGGCTTGTGTCCATCTTCCATTAGACCATCGAATATGGATTCGGCTTCTTTGGGCTTCCTTCTCTTCATCATAATATTCATTAGCTTAGTTCTTGATCGGACTATCTGGCAACTATCATTCTTGCCTGTACAGAATGGGCAGGATGGTTGAACTTGTGAATTCGAGGAGATTGGGCGAAATCGGTCATGTGAGTTCATAATGAGTCACAAGCTTTTTCATCAGACTGTCACCTCGACTGAAAAGAGAAACACAAGGCAGTATCTCATCTACGATGAACAAGACAACCAATAAGCAAGGTCAAGGCCTTTCTTCATGTTGCTCACAGTAAAGTGACAATGCACCAAAACATAAAGCAGAATCGCTCTAGCAAGATTGGTTACCACAGAAATAAATTCAACTGCTTATGCTCCAGAGGAATTTAACAACTAACAGATCCAAATCATGGATGGTTTAGCTTAAGAAGGAAAATGAACAAGAATGTATATATTACCACAATGGGAGAAGCTTCAACCAATTTGCTGCTTGTGAATGTTCCATCTTGGCATCTAGCCATCTTCCTTCCTGAACCACACCGGACAGTCATTAAAACATCAATAAATAACCTTTCTAAACCGATCCCAAAGACGAGAAATTATGTATCCTATTCAATTCAAGCCAACACACCTCAACAAGCCACTAAATATAGCAAAATATGAAGGATAAAGACCTCTAATTCACAACTTAGTCCCAACCAAAGCAGAACTGGTTTATAAGATATATAGGTAAGCGCTAATCAGTTACCAGAAATCTCTCAACAAGTGAACCCAACTGTATTATTCAAAAAAAGTGAACCCAACTGGCCTCTGTGCCTTTCTCAATGATCAGACTTTCAAAGCAGAACATGAAACAGGCAAGAAACCCAGGACGGCAAAGTCGCCAAAAGGAATCAATTTCGAAGCCAGATCACTAGATGCATGCCACAAAGATCGTTACTTTAGACTGCTGCACGGGAAATCAAGAAACTTGCTCAAATGGGGTTGTTACCGGTTCGATTGGGCAGAAGCTAGGAGGTGGCAGAATGAAGAATGGGGTGGAATTGCATGGCTGATATGAGACGATCTGTACAAGTAGGAGCAGCACAATTGGAGAAATATACAATTGAGAGGAAGTAAAGGGAGGGCAAAAAATAAAAAAAGGGCTTTGTTCTGTAGTGAAGAAAGAAGCGTTGTGGATTCTTATCCACTAATATTATCAGAAATAGATTCTGGATAGTATTTTTTTGCCCATTTTTTTCTATGAAGCATGGCGAATTGGCGATGAAAGGTCTATATAGGGTCTGGATTCTCCTGCTACCACCACCTATAAAATACTGGGTAAAGGACGAGTAGTAATAATACACTAGTAAATATTTGGAGGAGCAGAGAGTGCCACGGCATCAGCCATTCTCCATTGATTGGCCAAAGCTTATTGTCACTGTGCTTAATTTTTTTTTTTTTTCATTGAATCAGTTGCCCTTGTATTGCAAGAAAACCAATACAACGAAGGTGGGGAAAGTCATCCCAAAGTTCTCCAACAACCTGCCAATAAACTAGACACCTATCTTTGTACTATCATCTACAAAACAAAATAAACAAAACCCTCTAAACAGTCACATGTATCCCAACCTCACCAAAGTATCACGAGCCCCTCTATTTCCATATGTGATAAACACCAGTTCCTGTTTAATAAGCTCTGCAACCTGCCTTGGAGTATGTGCAAGAGTTCCAAATACCACCTGACACCTCTCCTTCCAAATAAATGCCATCAGTAAGCACCACACAAGTGCTTGCCATTCCCCAAGCGGAGCCGCCCCTGCCTGAGAATGAGAGCAAATCATAGAGTTCCAGTCTGGAAACTGCAGCAGCCTGCCTCCCAACTCCTCAGCAAGCTTCTTTGCAAACCTGCATTGGGTGAATAGGTGATCCCTGTTCTCCACTCCATTTGTGCACAGAGGGCATTCAGCTGTGCTGATTCTTCCGCATTTCAGTAACTTGTCCCTAGTTGTAATAGCATTCTTCACAATCAACCACACAATTAAGCAATAACGAGGGGGACAATTACTACCCCAAACTAACTTATACCAATCAACTTTAGGAGCCTTCTGTCTTAAGGATTCCCACACTCGACGAATAGAGTAAGTGCTCATCTCTTTTGAATCCCAGTAAACTTTATCATTCTGCACCTGTATCCATGGGAGAACAATTGCCCTAAGCTTAAGTATCTTTCGGAATGCCCAGGAATTACTATACTGCACTTGTACTCTTTTATCCATGCCACCCATATAGCCCCTGAGTTCATTAAAAACAACCAAATCATTCTACCTGTACAAGCTTGATTCCAGGCAAGAAGATCCTTTACCCCAAGCCCTCCTTCACGTTTAGGCAGTGCAACATAGTCCCAACTCACCTTAGCTTTACCCTCATCATGTCCATGCCAGAGGAATTGAGAGCAGATTTTTTGTATTCTCTTAAGAGCCTTCTTTGGAAGGACAAACATCTGCATCCAGAATTGCACCATCCCAAGAATGACCGAATTTAGCAGCTGCAACCTCCTTGCGTAAGTGAGCTTTTTGGCTCTCCAAGACCTGATGCGTTTTGTAATTTTCTCCACCAAAGTATCAATCTCAACAGAAGAAAACTTACCAGACAGAAGTGGTAATCCCAGATAACGGACTGGAAGTGTTCCTTCTTTAAAACCTGTAAGAGATAATGCATTCTGCTTGTAGGTAATAGAATCCCCACCAAAGTAAACTTCACACTTTGCAGGATTACTGTTAAGGCCTGAAAGCTGATAAAACCTTTGAAGAACCCCTTTCACCTGCATAATGGCTTGAGCAGATCCCTTAGTAAAAATAAGTAAATCATCTGCAAAGCAGAGATGGTTTAAGGCCACTCTCTTGCATTGTGGATGATATGGAATAGTCCCAGATTGTCCTGCCTCAGATAATAACGTTGACAACCCCTCCATTGCAATGGTGAAAAGGTAGGGTGATAATGGATCACCCTGCCTCACCCCCTTCCTGGTCCTAAAGAATCCACAGAGGCTCCCATTCACATTAATGCTATAGTGAGCTGTTTGGAGACAGCTTTTAATCCATTATAAGAAAGTAGCAGGAAACCCCATACTATTCATCATGAGAAACAGATACTTCCAACTCACTGAATCGAATGCTTTCATAATGTCTACTTTTATAGCACACCTAGAGGACAGAGACTTCCTATTATACCCACTCACCAACTCTTGAGCCATCAAAATGTTATCCATAATACTTCTCCCTTTTATAAAAGCAGACTGGGAACCACTGATTATTGAAGGCATTATCCCTTTGATTCTATTAGCTAGGATCTTAGCAATGATTTTGTATAAGAAGTTTATACAAGAAATAGGCCTAAAGTGTTTTAGGGACTCAGCATTTGGAATTTTGGGAAGTAAAGAAACAGTAGTAGAGTTTACTCCACTCGGTAGAATACCTGACTGAAAGAAGAACAGAATCCCCCTGATAATATCTTCACCAATGATCCCCCAGGTCCTTTTGAAGAAACCAGCAGAAAAACCATCTGGACCTGGTGCTTTTTGAATGTTCATGCTAAACACCACTGTTTTAATCTCATCTCCAGTAACTTCCTGAATTAGAGCCTCACACTCCCCCTGTGGAATTTGCCTTGTTACCAGCCTCTTCACCTCATCCTCACTAGGATTAATATCCCCATTTGCCTCACCTAGCAGCTTCTTATAAAATCCAATAACTTCCTCAACAATCTGCTCAGTTTGGTAGATCTCCTCCCCTGAATCCCTTACCAATTTTCTGATAGCCCTCTTAGAATTACGAATCTTTACTGCTTGATGAAAGAAGTGGGAGCTTTTATCCCCCACAGTCAACCATGAAACCCTAGATTTTTGCCAACAGAAGCTTTCATAAGCTCAAGAAATGGATTCATACTGCTCTGTGGCCTGCTTAACATCTGCAAAGTGACTAGAAGTGGGATCTGAGTAAGCAGCAATGTGCGCCCTGTGCAAAGCAGCTTCTGATTCTTTTACTTGATCCTGAAGATTCCCATACACATCTTTGTTAAACTTCCTTAGTGCTTTTTTCACCTCTTTCAATTTACCTTGAATAACCTGTAATGGATTCCCAGATACCATACTTTTCCATGCTTCCTCAACAATACTCAAAAACAATGGATGTTCAGCCCAGAATTCAAAATATTTGAAGGGCTTAGGCATGGATTTAATCGGGCTAGCAGTACTCACCTGCACCCCACAATGGTCAGAAAAGTGTGCAGGTATTACCTCCATAACACAGTCCTTGAATTTCTCTATCCAGTCAAGGTTAACCAAAGCTCTATCTAGCTTCCTAGCTATTGGATGATCAATCTGCCTATTTGTCCATGTGAACAGAGGGCATGTGGCCCTATAATCTAGTAGCTCCATTCCATCTATCCAATTATTAAAATCCCCCATGCTAGCATTAGAGCAGTACTGATTGGAGGTCTCCTCAGGCACTCTCACAGTGTTGAAGTCCCCCCCCCCCCCCACAACCCATGGAAAACCAGCAACTTTCACTTTAGCTAATTCTTTGTACGTAAGAAGACGTTCTGCTTCATCATTGGATGCATATACTGCAGTAAGAAAGAAACTATCCTTATTAATGTCCTCTACCAAACAGTGTACAAAATTTTTACTGAGCTTCAGTACTTGTAGTTTTATCTCAGGATTCCAGAACAACCAGACCCTACCCAGCTTAGAATCAGTACATTCAATACACCTCTCCCAACCTGAAAACACCTCTGCAACCATTTCATGAGCCTTTTCTGCCTTGATCCTAGTTTCCAAAACTGCTACTATATCTACTTGATTTCTACAAAGGACTTGCATCAAGTCCTTTTGTTTGGAGGTTTTATTAAACCCCCTTACATTCCAGAATAGGACCTTCATTTAGAAGTTAGGGGTTTCCCCCCTCCTCCCTTCCACTGATCCTTCCTAACCTCCTTCTTTTTTGGTGCATCCAGAATCTTACTTGCTTCCTTATCTCCCAACTTGCTTAACACACTGAACGAAGATGATGAGGCCTGAATAGAATTTTTAGCACTCTCCAAAGAAATCCAGACCTGAGGCTTTGCCCCATTAACCACTCTATGAAACTCATCCTCTGTAGGCAGCTTTGGGGAAGGAGACCCAGCCACTGCCAAGAATGACTTCTCCAAATTTTGTGGAGCTATCCTCACCCCCTCATTTACAGTAGGACTTAAGAAAATAGCCCGCAATTGCGGATCATCCTCACTAATTGCCACTTCTTTACCTTTACCTTCCACAGATTTTTCAGACACAACCTTTTGATTCACCCCTGGATCCGACCCCATTGACATAGCCTTAAAATTTTCAGCCTGATCCTGTTGTTGTTGTGGTTTTGCAACCCACTGCTTCCCCTGATGAGCCTCACAAGAACCAGTAACCCCAAACAATTTGCAGACAGGACAAACTGGGGGGAGATTGCAATAAGAAACCCCGATACGAATAGAGGACTCATCATCCGGCCAAACCAACACATGATCAGGATAGTCATGCCCAGCAGTTAGCTCCACCAATACCTTCGCAAACCCATGCATATTCCCCAATCTTGTAGTCTGATCCACCCCCAATGGTAAACCCACCCAACTGGCAATTCTGCTTAAACCCTGAAAATCATTGTACTCGAGTGGGACGTTTGAGAGATGAATCCAGATTGGTAAGGCTTTTCTCCCAAGATCTTCAAAACTGATGCCCGGAACCCATGGTCGAAGATATAACAAATTATTGAACCAGAACCAGGGGTCATTTTCAAGAATCCATTCACACCTGTTGATTTGGTAACTGGATCAGCAACATCTTATCATACAAAAGGGAAACCCTCACAACCCCGTCCCTTCCCCACAGCTTGTTAACCCAGCGTCGCAAAGCATGAAGAGGAGGCGGGTCTTGAAGGAACTACCCTACCAAGAAATTCTTCCATCGCGCTGCTTCTGCCTCTCGCACCGCCTTCGGCATTCGCAGACCACCATTGATGACCTCCGGGGGAAAGTACGTGAGCCGATTTGCCTCCGAAATACCAAATAACGATGCCCAGGGTTTCGATGGAATCCCCTTTGCGTCGCTCTTCGGCACTTCAGAGGTAGATGATTCGGCACGCTCCTCTCCTCACTCATGAGAAAAGAAAAATAAGGGGAACGGAAGCTGCTCCGGCGCAGATGCCGGAGCCGGCCGCGAGAAACTGATCGGAAACCTCGCAAACCTTTCTCTCAGATATTATTCTAAGAACAACATAACAATAATATCCTGGATCTTTCTTCTTCATTTATTTTGGGTGAAATATCCTGGATCTTTCTGATTGAGAGGCAGAGAGATGCAAATGCAAATCTGGAAATCCTGCGCGATTAAGGTTACTGATAATCCTTTTTGAGTTCCAGTTAGAGCTAGGGATGGCAATGGGGCGGGTTTGGGGCGGGTTTGCTTAAACCATCCCCATACCCATCTTCAAATACCCAAACCCATACCCGCCCCATACCCATGCGGGGAAATGTTTTGCAAACCCATCCCCATACCCGTGGGTTTCGGGTACCCATGGGTAATACCCATACCCGTAATCCAACATTATTATACCTAAAACTTACAAGAAAAGTTCTAATTATAACTCTAAACGAACATATTATATCATGAAGTCAACAAAACACGGTCATTTTTTTAATATGGTTCAAAGATTATGATCCTAAAATATCCATTAATACATAAAATAGAGTATAATATTTTTCAAATTATTATGTTCTAACTCTGATACATCTACCAAAAAATAATTAACTAACATAATCTTGTTGACAAGGGGAAAGTGAAAGAGTGAAATGAGAATTGAGAGAAATTAATTAGATTTTGATTAAGGTGGTCACTCAATTGCATTTCTACTATTTATTTTCTCAAGTTATCCTCATCATCATTGATAAATTATAATTTGATGCACATATTTTTTTTTATATGAAGAAATTTTCTTAGTGGGGCGGGTATGGGGATGGGTATGGGGCGGGGGAGGCTAAAACCATACCCGTCCCATACCCATCAAACTTTTTGCAGGTTTTACCCATACCCGCCCCATACCCGGTCAAAGCGGGGATTCCCCGCGTTGACTGGGTCGGGGGCGGTCGGATACCCCGCGGCCATGGGTTTGATTGCCATCCCTAGTTAGAGCCACTCTTAACACTTTTATGGGCGAGGAGTTTCCATTGCTAGGATTTCTTATTAGATGCTTTTGCAAGTGATTCAGTCATTCAGATATGGTAATTGAAGAGAGAGCTTCTTTTGTTTTAACATCACTTCTTTCAACTAAATTTCACCAATTATTATTCGTTTGTTTACGTATGAATTTAAATCTTCTTACACAAAAAATATCATATTAATGGTTCTTTAGAATGTGATTATCAATTTTGATATATTTTGAAACAAAAAATTTACAACATATATTACTTCTCTAAACTATTATGGTGGTACATCGAGGTATCATATGGAAATGGGTGGTACGAAAATTTTTCCCCGAAATATTTCAAAAATTGATATAATTCTATATGTCACAATAAACTCATTTCATCTGTGTAAAAAATTCAAATTTTGGGTTACTATGGTTATTACCAAATCATTTAATGCTATACTGTATTGACCATCGAAAATATCTTAAATAAACCAGTCAAATTAACACAACAACCGAATTGAGCAAAATCAAAGCTTAATTGGTTAATCAGAATAACCAACATAACATAACCATCATGAAAAAACCTCATTTTGGTTAAGTAATTGTTGTTGGGCCTCTTATTCATGTATGCTTCTATAATCAAATTTGACAATAGAATGGTAATATTGTATACTTGTGTTGGATTAAGTTGATTATGGATTGATATCTATGTTAAATTATTTTTTATTCAATGCTAACACTTAAAAGGAATATATAGTTATGTTAGGAAAAAATTTAACAAAAATGCACAATTTGAAAAAGTAGGAGGTTTCCTGTTGGTTAGGTTACCGCTCGGTTATTTTAGTATAACCTTGTTGAATCACTTGTTTGACGGTTAGTTAGGTAACTGACAAATAATGACAACCGACTATACGGTTACAATTAAACGACTAATATAAATAGTGTAGTTAACGATAAGTACAAATTGCTTAACGATCAACCGATAACCGACTAAACAGTTATAATTATATTCGAACCAAACCTATTAACAACCCTAATACTATGCACCCAAGTCTAAATATAGTTTTAAGACATCAAATTTTGATTTTTAATTAGTAGCATTATTCAAGGTATAATATATGATCATAACTAACAATTCATCACCCTGGGTCCTAAACCTTCATTTCTGAATCCAAACACCAAACTCCAAATTGTAGGCCTTAAACCTTAAATCCCTAAATTCTTCAAATAAAAATAAATTTTGAATGATTTTTGTGCAATTTCATGTATTATCTTGTCCATCATATTACAAGTGATGATTGACTTTGTTTTAACATGAATCATCAACTCAAAATGACGATTATGAAGTGGGTGCATAAAATGCACCAAATACTTATGTATATGTTGTAGGCTTGTGCCTTGTAGGGTTTATACTTTATACCATGATTGAAAGACTCGGTGATGTGGAAGTTGAGGTGAGAAAATTCTAATCAAAATTTTCATTAAATGGATTCAATCAAAGTCTTTGTTGTTGAATATATTCAAAAAAGTTTCTATTGAATAAATTCATCACATGTTCTTATTTGTGTTACGAGACTAAGTAAAGATCTTGAATTTGCCTTAAACTAAGGTAGAGTCGTAGAGATAAGGAGAAGAGATGAGATAGTGATGCTTTAATTTTTTATCATTAGTAATCTTTGATTCGATTGATTGGAGGCTGAAAAAGAATGTTCATTTTTTTACATTATGAAAATCACAAGAAATTGAGTGAGAGAGACACCGAGGTGAGAGGTGACTTAAGATGGTAGGATATCTATCCCATTTTTTCAGTTTATAGCATAAAAAATATCAAATACACCCCCTCGAATATAGAAGGGTTAATACGGGTGCTAAACCCTCAATGGGTTAGCAAAGATAATACGTTCCACACAAACGGGGTGAATGACTGTTCTGTAACAAAGTGAAAAAGTTCGTGACTCATTTATAACATTTCAAAGTACACTGATCGTATTGTCATAAACACCAAAGTTTGATGACTATTTACAAGTTCTCTCGCAGTATAAATACGGATTATTTCCTCGTCGGCGAAGGTTCTTCCTTTTCCTTCCCTTTCTGTTCTTCACCAATACGAAAGAAATGTTCTTGAAGCTATGGGGCTGGTATCGCAACTGCCTAACCTCTCATCCGTTGAAGACCCAGGTCATCAGCTCCGGTTTCCTTTGGGGCGCCGGCGATATTGGTGCGCAATACGTCACTCACTCCACTGCCATTAAGCGTCTTCAGTGTACCGTAAGTAAACCCTCTTTTCTTCTTTCTTTTTCTTGTTCGCATTTCATAATTAGCTATCTGGGAATCATTGATTGTTTCGGATTCGGTTCAATTGCTTGTTCTGTGAACTGGGTTTCAACAAGTTTTGTCCTTTCCATTCGGCTCTTTGCTGTGGTTGCTGGGGACATTTGTGGCGCCGCCGCCGCGCTGGGTTGGGGTTTGTGACCATCCCGAGATACCATCTTTAGTGTGTTTGAATGCTTTTGGTTCTTTTCAATAGACGTGTCTCACTGTTCTCGAAGTTTAAGCTTTTGGTGGCTTTCCGTCGTGGCCCTTAAAATTGGAAAGCTGGAAAGGTCTACGTTGCATCTCTTACTGTTTTCTTTTCCTAGATGAAACTGTTTTTGCTGGGTAACTCGATTCCAGTGTTGCTATAGGACTGAAGGTGATTAGAATTCGGAGTTCTTCCAAACAGGTCTTACTTGTTAATTTCTGCAATCTTCTGTTGCTGCAATGGCGTTGGCATGATTGCAACTCATGGTCTGGTAGCTGCAAATCGCAGCAGAACATGGTGCCGTTCATATGTATTTCGTATTAAGAAGCTGTTTGATCAACAATCAGAAATCATGTTGACTATATACTTTTGGAGTTTTAGCTTTGTTTCTGGGATAAACATGCCCTGGGACGTTATTAAGGTGAATCAAATCATGCGTGTAGTTTCTTCTTTTGACCTAACTTAGTTGTGTCGTGTACGTTTACACTCTGAGCTCCATTATTTCGTTCCAGCATGGTTCCCAATAATCCGCGAGCTCTTCGGATGTGGTTTAAACTAATCGCGAGACTGGATATTGTTTGTCAAACAGTTTTGCCTAATCTTTATTGTAACATCTTCATATTGTGGCTTAGAATCATTAAATCCCATGTGTTCCTCTGAAGCTGTTATCTGCACCAAAGATAGTTTCTTAACTCCAGGAAGATGAGTAACCGTATTTCATGTGGCAGGATAAAGAGGCTGAATTCAGGATAAATTGGAAGCGCGTAGCTATTACCAGTGCATTTGGCCTTGGATTTGTCGGTCCAGTTGGCCATTTCTGGTTTGCCTCTTCATCTTTCTTTGCAATCATTTAGATGTACTTTAAGCAGCAAGTTGAAGCTATATTCTTTGATCAGTTCTTAACTTAACTAAAGTCGTATTTCTTTAGGTATGAGAACTTGGACAAGTTTATCAGGTTGAGACTTAAACTAACACCAAAATCAGCTCGGTTTGTGGCTGCTAAAGTGGCAGCTGACAGCATAATCTTTGGGCCCTTGGATCTGCTAGTATTTTTCACCTACATGGGATTTTCTACTGGGAAGAATGCTGCTCAAGTGAAAGAAGACGTGAAGAGGGACTTCCTTCCATCGCTGGCCTTGGAAGGCGGTATTTGGCCACTGGTTCAAGTGGCTAACTTCAGATATGTACCAGTACAGTACCAACTTCTCTATGTCAATTTCTTTTGCTTGATAGACAGCGCTTTCTTGTCGTGGGTCGAGCAACAAAAAGATGCTCCATGGAAACAGTGGTTCAAATCGGTCCAGATTTTGAAAGAGAAAGGAGGGCAAGGCAGATTATGATAATCATGATATTCTCTCCTCTTTTCCTGTCTTAACTTCTTTTCATTTTTGACTGTGTTACTCTTTGAATCTCACTCATAGCTGTAACATGAGGAGAGTTAGCAGGATAGGCTTGTTGAAGATTGGATTTGGGAATTGAATTAGTTGCTCCTATTGTATGATTTTGTATCAACTGTAATAATTCGTTCCCCAACTTTAATGCAAGAATCAGAGTAAATTCTGTGATTTGACAGGGTTACTATTGATGTTCCTAACTGCATAATGTAGAGAACAATTTGTTCATGCTCAAGTTGAAGCTAAGAATTTGCGTTTCAACCATTCTATTTACTATTTCTAATCTGAAGATGATACAAATGAGCAACAACAAACACAAAAATTGAAGGCCTCTATTATACATGTGCACTGCTTTAAGCTGCATAAACTACAAAAATGAAGAGTGACCTCCCCCTAGTGGCATTCTTGGCATGAATGCACAGGACACAATCAAACAAGGGCAACACTGGAATCCAATGCTCTGCAAGAGGAAAAAACCAATCATGAATGAGGGAAGGATCACGAGGTTTAATAGACATATATGTAAACCATGAACAATTTGTTAGCAAGACTTGTAAAAAATCATCATAATTTCAGAGACGTGAAAATACCGGTATGCTCAGTACGAATCCTTCGCTATTTACTAAGACAGGCAGGCTGCTTCTGGCAGCAACTGGGATCGACTTCAAACATTGAAGAGAATTTTGCTGATAACTACATGTATGCTAAACACCGGTGTCTCTTTTCTGCTATCTGGTCTACTTCAATGTTTACATCAGTTATTTCTGGCAGAAAATCTTCCCAATTTTTGCACTTAACCAATTTGGCCAGATACAACCAATCAGACTCAGCCATATGGCGTATTTCAGCAGTTCTTCGATGATCAATTACCAAAGACGAGCAATAACTAAGCGGTCTTTCATTCCAAGTGACTAAGAATCTGTTCATAAAGTAACATGCTTGGCCTGGGTGAAGTAGCTTACTTTCAGATGCCGAGGTGTAGGGATTCTCTGCGCTCTCATGCTTCAAGTGAACCTTATTCTCAGGTTTGAAATGCTTTGTTTCATTCCTCCCCAGTAAGGTTATATTTCTATGAGTTGACTCGCTGATGATACCCAGTCTTTCAGCTTCTGTTAGGACTGATTGGCATGTTATGTCCATGAATTTCACACCACCTGCATCTGGTACAAACTGATCCATATAAGGGTCTCCTTGGGCTATAATTTCATCCAACTTGTTAGGAAGGTACTGCTTCTGTTCTCTATCAAAGTCTGGACAACTCACTTCAATTTTCGAATGAGGAGGACAATCAACAGAACAGCAAACTAAGAGTTTTGTTCCCCTAGATCCAGGAGAAGGGCAGAGATAACATCCAGCCACTGTAAAAGATGTCTGCAGGAGTGTCAAAGTTCATCAGAAAGACAATGAAATGCATAATTCTGACAAGAATAGACAAAAGATAATTGCAACAAGAAAGTAAGACTACTAAACTTGCCTTACATGGGAAAGTACAAACGTAATCCAATAATACTTTAATAGTGGCGCCTCTAACAGTTCTGTACCTTTGAGAAACAAACTGAAGCATTCAGATGACAAATTACTATTAGCCAGTAACATAACTAGGCAATTTTAAAGGAATAATAACATATCCAAGAAGATAATCGAAATGTGAGTTACCTGCAAGACCAAGGCAACAAACTTCGAAAGGCACATATCTGGAACTTTTGATGGATTAAGAATCATCAAATCAATAACAGCATAACCTTGCTGATGGGCCACAAAATGAGGACTCCAATGGCATTAACAAACAAGGAAAAAACCATCAGTATCATGATAAGGATTGTGTTTTAAAAAAGATTCTCATATTCAGCATGAAACTGTTCTTACATCCATAATGTTCACAGCCTGATTTATCAAATCATTGGAAATGTGGTCAACATATGCACGTATTTTCGACATGCAGATATTAGCGCTTGTACCTCAGTCTGGAAAACATCTGGAAAATTAGATGACACAAATCACAATTCCAATCAACAGCATTTGAAACGGAAGGATTAGGTTCTTTTAAGTTAAAAAAAGAACATATTCATCTGTATTAAAAACAATGGCTAGCGATCTCACATGATGAAAATTTTCCCAGTGACATTCTGATCCTATTCCGAGCATATGCTGCACTTCGATTTGTTGGGTCTTCCACCCAGTCTTGATTACTTGCTTGACATGTCTGGAAAAAAAAGGATATGTTTCAGGTACATGGCTTTTCCACATGTAGTATCAATGGATTGCTTTGATATGCAAAGATAATTTTCTTTTAAGACATGAGAATCTCTCTTTTTTCTAAAAGTGCATCTCGATATGCGCTGACCTTGTACATATCTTCTTTAGAAAAATGCAAGAGTGGACGCACTAGAAGTAGGCCTTTATTGTTTGAACCTTCATTATGCAAAACTGTACATGTCGAGAACAACTGAGAAGTAAATGCCATGCCTGCAAGTCCAAGCACACCACTACCGCGTGAAAGTCGAAGAATCAGTAGCTCCGCCTGCAAAATTGTTTTCCAAGCAAACCTCCATTTTCAACATTCTAATCAGCAAAAAAGTAAAGACTGGGATACACATGAAGAAGATCATCACTCAAACCTGATCGTCTGCATGATGAGCAATAAGTAGCACACCAATTTGATGCTGAATGCAAACTTTCTGAAAATTTTGATACCTGGAATGCAGATTAGGATAGGAAACAGAGCAAATCAATGTCATTAACTCCTAGGCCAGCTGTATACAAGAGGTATTCACAGCTCGACTCTTGAAGAAAATTTGAGAAAAACCTCATATCCCGTGCTGCTTCTTGCAAGTGACCTTGTTTTGGTCTTCCATTCGACCAATTACACTCTGCAATCTCACATCTGATTCCTAACAAATGTTCACGCTAAGCCATCACGAAACAAAAAAAAAAGCACCTAGACATGATCACGAAATGTAAAAGAAACCAAAATGTAGCCATTTTAGAAACTCGTCGAGAAACAATGTGTGCCTCCTCTTTGCTCTCTGCACGTAGCCCATGATCAACAATTATGGCCAAAAGTCCATCAACATAACCATCACTCTTCCCAGCAGCATCAGTTTTCCAAGCAGCCGTTAGGAAACACAATGCCATGCTGTCAGGCCCACCTGATACTCCTACAGCTGCAGCAAAATAACACAACTCTCTCTCTAAGCAAACGTCAAAACTTAACTACCACATAACTCCAAAACAAAGAAAAGAAGGGATGAAAGCTTCAATCAAGACCAGAAATTCTGCAAATCCCACCTCCAGAACAACCAAAAGATGATGGCTTTCCACTTCTTCTCCCACAGAAATTGACAATTGAACCAAGTTCACCAACATTGTGACAAAACAATGTTATCAGGAAAAGTTTAAAAAAAAACTCACCGATAGAATGGTAAGGTTGGAGTCCGGCCATAGCCATTCTCCTTGCAAAACCCTCCTTGTACTTTCCCATGTCCACCGAGACTCGTTCCTCGGCCGCACAACTTCCACAGCTATACAACCGACTCGAAGATACAATCGAACCCGCCACTGGGATGCGGAAAACGTAATTCAATCCCGCGAAATTCAACTTCTGTCGCTTCAGTAACGGAACCGGAAGCGCCAGCAAGACAAGAATTGAACTTTGCATGTTTCAACATCATTAAGTGGTTGTAATGGAGCTTTATTGAATTATATAATTGCCATGTTGGAATGGCTTTGAACAATCGTTGTATCGAACAATCGTTGTTTTCTGTTGATAGTAGGATATTGGTGTGTATTTGTTTTGGATATTTTTTCATTATGTATATTTTGCATTATGGATATTGGAATGAAAGCAGGATATTTTTTCATTATGTATATTTTGCATTATGGATATTTTGCATTATGGATACCAGTACAAAACAAATGAATATTAACTCTTTCACAAGCGAATATTAATGTGTTCTCGTGGATATTAGTTGCTTCATTGTTAGATACGTACCTGGGCAGTCCGAATATTAACCTTTATATGCCCGCACTGTTTTCCAGCTCGACTTTGTGGGTGCTGAGCTTGACAGGAATCGGGGCAGATTCTTGGTATTTTCTTCGTCTTTGGTAGCAGCAGCAAAAGCTAAAATGGAAGTCTAGTAGTTGTAATGGAGTATGAAGACGAGGAAGAGGAGGTAGACGTCATGGAGGAGGAAGAGGAGGTAGTTGTCATGGAGGATGATGATGATGAGGTAGTTGTCATAGAGGAGGAAGATAGGGGAGTTGTCATGGAGGATGAGGTTAGTCAAGGTCCTGTGAGAGAAAACAGCATGTTTGGCCGTGTATACTCCAGGAAAAGAAGTAAGAAGAATGTTCAGGAGTTGGAGTTGCCAGCAGTTACATCAACATTTGATGACGTGGTTGAAGTGGTGGAGTCGGAGGTAGTTGTCATCCATTATACCGACCCGTCTATCACATTCGCTGATGTGATGCAGATTGGTTTTCAGGCCACTGCTGCTATTGAAGAGAGTATGAGGACATCTCCGACAACGGTAATATTTGATTCTTTGTTATGGATACTAGCCTAGACTTTCAGGATATTTCTTTCATATTGAGTAGATACAAGTCTGGGCTTTCTGGATATTTGATTCTTTGTTATGGATACTAGCCTGGGCTTCCAAGATATTTATTTCTTTGTTATGGATACTAGCCTGGGCTTCTAGGATATTTGTTTCTTTTTTAGTAGATACTAACCTTTAGCAATGTTTTGTAGATACCTATCGAGGAAACTGCTGCTACTGAGGTTCTAACGCAAGGAGACGCATTACAATCAGAGGGGGAGCTTATAGCAGCAGCATGCCAGAGGATGATGGAGAATAGCGATGATGATGTTCTCGTAAGTGAGAGGGCTATGACTCAGGAGGAGATTGAGTTTATGCACTCTATCACACCAGAATCATGGAAAACCACTCTAAAAACTCCTGCATTCGAGAGGTCAAAACACCACCCATTTGACTCATCAGTGTACGTTCTGCCTAAGACTTTGTCGACAAAACTTGACGTGACGGCACTGCAAGTGGTTGAGTTCGTTTTCAGTACCACAACTAAAGATGAGTAAGTTGTCATGTTTCCTTCTTTAATCGCCAATTTCAATCTGTCAAATTCATGGCTACTAACCTGATCATTCATTTGTGTTTTACAGTCACGACTTTATCGTGGAAACTCCAAAGGCCAAGCTTAGCCGTTACCAAATATTGTCATTGAAGCGTAAAAGTTGGGTTCATAGCCAAGTAATTTTAGTATACAGGCACTTCCTAAATGACCAAGAAGAACTTAAGGGGGTTGTGAAGAGAATTGTCTTCCCATGGACCTATGTAGTAAGTATTATCTTCACTACTTAAATCCTATTTATGTTGAAAATGTCTAATTTGATATTGTTGTCTCTTCTAAATAGCAACATGTCGTCGCTAATTCTATAAAAAAGATGCCCATGGACAAGGCGAGATTCTCGGCCTATATTTCTATGCACAAGAGTAATCCATTGTTGAAACGGGAAAACTTGGAAAAGATGTGATTATGTAAGTGTCTTCAATGTTTGGACATTTTTCTCACTTTCCTTGATATTGGTCTGGGTTTATATGATATTTTATTCTTCTTTATCGGATATTATTCTGGGCTTCTGAGATTTTAATCTGGGTTGTTAGGATATTCGTCAATGATTAACTCACTAACTGTATTGTGTTTCATATCTTCTTTCCAATGTGTCGAGATGATCACTACCGAGTGTATGTCGCTGACATGAAGAATAGGAAGACTTTCCTTCTCGACAGCCAAAAGCCCAATGCCCAAGTTGCTAAGGAAGATCATGGACCAGTGGGGAAAGTGATTCAGACTACAGTGGGAAACAATCGGTTCCCTATATAATGTTGGAGCACAGCCCTATCCTAAAACATGCGGCAAAGATCTTTACTTCTAACATCTTCAATCGGATACAGGAGGAGTATTTGAAAACTGAAAAATATATAATGGAGACGCTCTCGGATACTAGGGATGATGGCATGATTGGCTACCGCACATATATGATAGAGAATGGTGAGCGTAGTGATGAGCGTGTCGTTCTCGTCGATATTTCTACAAGGACATTGGTATGCGAATTCAGAATGTTCAGAACTTTCGGAGTGTTATGCCGCCACATGATTAAGGTGATGCGACTTCTTGGAGATTTTGGGGAAGCCAGTATGAGAAGTGTTCCAGATCATTACATACTCAAGCGATGGACGTTGGAGGCGAGAAAGAAAGAGGTTGTTGATGTCGATGGTTATGTTGGTCCTTCAGCTTCTAGTGAGAATGATGCAGGAAAAGGTATAGCAATGCGTTACCGAGAAACCACTGCAATGTTGAATCAGCTAGCAACTAACATGTCGATGACCGATGAGAAGGACTACAATAAGTGGATGGGAGTACTCAAGAAATTGTGCAATGAGGCAAACAAGGCATTGTCAAAGACCATTACTATCGAGGACAGTAAGTATATTCACTAATATCATTTGTAAGTTGTTAGAGTTTAATATCATTGCATTTACTAAATTCTCTAACGTTGTAGGACGGCATGTACCGATAACTGGGCTGACTTTGAAGAAGAAGAGTAATCCAAGGAGCCAAGGTAAGGAACGTTATCAGTCTACCAATGAAAAGGAACTCCGTCGAAAGAAACGTGTCTATAAGAAGAGAATGAAATCAGTTGGAGTGGTCACGCCGGACAACAATACTCAACCGGATGACCATATTAGTGATTTGGATGATAATATTGATCAATGCTTATGAATAGAATGTAGGGAGGTTCGAGAGTGGTCTATTGTGATATGATATTGACAAGTGATTCCAGGATACGTTTTTGTAATGCAATGGATATGAATCCCCCTGTATAGGACACTTGTCTGGGCAAATTTGATATCCACTCTATTTTGTATAGATATTGGTTTGGGTTTCCTAGACATTTATGAATAGAATGTAGGGAGGTTCAAGACTAGTCTATTGTGATATGATATTGACAAGTTATTCCATGATACGTTTTTGTATAGGAGTGGATATTAATCCACTTGTAAAGGATACTTGTCTGGGCAAACTTGATATGCACTATATATTATACAGATATTAGTATGGGCTTCCTGGATATCAGTATTTTCAACGCAGGTACAATGGTACCAATGATTACTTATTTCACTATTCACATGTGACCTTTTTTGTTACTGTACTCATGTGATCTTTTTTGTTACTGTACTCGTGTGACCGTTTTTGCATTTGTCTATTTAAGACAAATTATACACAAACCCAAATCTGCTATCCTCCTCTCTCAGTTTCTTCTTCACTTCTCTTCCAAAGCAAAATCCATGTATGGAGAGACTCCTAAACCAGCGCGCCGGGGATTGGTGGATGAGTTCGAATATGATGGTGTTGTACTCTGTTACCATGGTTGGAGAGCTGCCAAACGACTTGCTGTTGATGGAGTCAACCCACCGAAGAGATATTCCGATGTCGGATGTACGAGTACGACAATGATAACGGGTGTGGTTTTCACATGGATTGGGACGAAGTAATGTTACCCGGTTTTTCAGAGTCGGATGATGAAGATAACACCGAGGAGACCGTGAAGAAATGAATTAGTATTTCCTGTCATCACTTTGTATTGTGTTGAGTTTGTTTCTATTTCTGATTGAAAGTGTTATCCATCTTTATCGGGTATTAGTCTGGGTCTTTCGGATATTTATCCGGGTCTTATGGATATTTGTCTGGGTCTTTAGGATATTCGTCTGGGTCTTAAGGATATCTGTATGTGTCTTTCGGATATTTGTATGTGATTTGATGATATATGTTTAAAGAAAGAAGGTATTTGTCAGGGCCATATGGATATTAGTCTGGGCTGTATGGATATTGTTCTGCCACAATAAGGATATTAGTCATTGTCAAAGACGAATATTTACCTGGGAGGTTACAATATATGGTGCAATCAGAATTTATGTTGGTAATTATATCCAACATCTACCAAATTATCCTCCATCCTAATACAAACCATCATTCATTCCTAATTATATCCAACATCTAGCAAAATATCCTCCATCCTATCCAGCACACCTAAACAAATCTAAAATCAATTTCTCTTCTTTTTCCCTTTCTCTTTCTCTTTCTGCATACTCCAATCTTTTTCTCCTTGAATTATTGCATCCTTGTGACCGTTATAGTTCCATAACAAGAGGTTAGCTGCAATCCGTGTTCGTTGTTCCTCCACAAGTTGCTGCTTGTGCCAACTGTTTTTACATTCCACCGGAAGGTGACCCGCCCATAGCTCCATGTAAAGGCATGCAAATACGCCGCAATCATCATTGCCAAATTGCTGAGGAACGTCAGCAATAGTGAATTCCCACTCATCCAATTTACAATCGACCCCTTGCTCTTTGAGGAACTCTGTCACATACTCAAAAATCACTTTCCCCACTGGTCAATGATCCTCCTTAGCAACTCGGGCATTGGGCTTTTGGCTGTCGAGAAGGAAAGTCTTCCTATTCTTCATGTCAGCGACATACACTCGGTAGTGATCATCTCGATACATTGGAAAGAAGATCTGAAACACAATACAGTTAGTGAGTTAATCATTGGCGAATATCCTAACAACCCAGATTAATATCTCAAAAGCCCAGAATAATATCCGATAAAGAAGAATAAAATATCCTATAAACTCAAACCAATATCAAGGAAAGTCAGAAAAATATCCAAACATTGAAGACACTTACATAATCACATCTTTCCAAGTTTTCCCGTTTCAGCAATGGATTACTCTTGTGCATAGAAATATAGGCCGAGACTCTCGCCTTGTCCATGGGCATCTATTTTATAGCATTAGCGACGACATGTTGCTATTTAGAAGAGACAACAATATCAAATTAGACATTTTCAACATAAATCGGATTTAAGTAGTGAAGATAATACTTACTACATAGGTCCATGGGAAGATGATTCTCTTCACCACCCCCTTACGTTCTTCTTGGTCATTGACTCACTTCTACTGTCACCCTAGGAATTGGCCAAGTGAAACCACTTCCTAAAGCGTAGTATAGCGGGTTTTGGTTTAAATGTCAACCCGGGTCCTAGATTTGATGACTACTCGGTGAATTCTTGTTATCTAGCAATGAAACTTTAATGCAAGTCTAAACTAACGAACTAACAAAGCAAGTAAACGGTTGTTTTCAGGTTAAGAGAGGTCACCCGGATATGGTTCACCCTAGACTGCAGTTAAGCCGGATTGCAATTACCAAGTTCAGTTTCTATGATAGTTATACTGCGGAAGGTTCTCAAACAGCCTGAAGTCTCGACTAAAGGTCTTCAGACCCTCTCAATCTGAGTCTCTAGCGGGCGACTAACCTCCACCGGAGTAAACAGATTGAGGCCCTATGAACAAAACCTCCACTACCGAAGTGAATCCAGTACAGAATAGTGAGTTGGCTCCTCGACTAAAGTCACCAACTCCCTACCTTCAATCAAGGATGCTCTATCAACCTAGGCAGTTATTCTCATTCTAGGTTAAAGCAGAAACAACAGGAATTTGATCAGGATTCATGCCATTCAATCATTCAAACCTCAATTGAATATAATCAAATCATATAATCAGTACTTGGGTTCATACAATCAAACCTAATATACAAATCTAGGGTTCTCCATACCCAGATGAATGGGAGAACTACTCCATGGAGAAAGAAGCAAAAGCAGAATCAGACGCGGAATTCATACTGTGAAGGATGGATTCCTGCTCCTGGACGTTGATTGACACTTCTCCAAGCTCAAGCTGGCCTCCAATGGTGATGAAGATCAAGCTAGGTCACTTGGAGACTCTTGTTCGTCGCTTTCTCTCTCTAGGAATCGCTCTGTCTCTCTAAAACTCGAATCCCTTGATTTTTAGCCTTCTTTTCCCTTAAAACTTCTGCCTGTCGCGATACCCGGTCGAAATACCCGGTCGGGTATTTTGGGTCTCGACCGGGTATTATTAAAACGCACGTTTCATGCCAGGAGAAAATCCCCGGTCTGCTCCAATAATCCCCGGTTGGGGATTTAAGCTTCATGACCGGGCCCCCCTCTGTTTCTCACGGGTGCCCAAAATGATAAATACCCGGTCGGGTATTTTGCCACCTGACCGGGTATTTTCCTCCTGCAGCCCACTTCGTCCTAAATTTGCTCCTTTCGACCCAGAACTCATTCCTTCGCCTCGATTCCAACGCCGGGTCCTGAAATACGACATAAACACACAACCTCGCGTGAAATCGGTTTAAAACCCGAGAGTCAACCTCTCAAACGGCTCAAGAATAGGGGTGAAAATATGTGTAATTTTCGGTCTATCAAACTCCCCCACACTTAACCGTTTGCTTGTCCCCAAGCAAACCTAACTCAAACCAATGCAACTCTCCAGACCTCTATAGCAACAAACAACCCAGATCGTAGGTAGAGGAATTCCTAGATCATTTAGCAGCATACGAGGTCAACCGACGCACAAGTCATCTCATAGCTTCTTCGGCGAGAGCACTAGTACCGAGTCGGCATCATGGCAAATAGTGAACAGAGGACAAATGAATCGTGGATGAAGAAATTCTCAAAAACAAAGGATCATGGACTCACATTTTTCAAGGTGCTCTATTTTCTTCTTGAAGATGGTTGGAACCCCTTTTCTTCCTGTTTTACTTGTTTTCTGTTATTTGTTTTCTTTTTTTTTTCAAGGGTCCCAACCTGCTTTTCAGAAAATGGGGCTCCCACCTAGCAGAGGTTTTGCGGGGGCCCGGCTCTTACCGGCCATGCCAGGAGCGGATGTCTCGAGCCTCGTGCGGGGGAAAGACATGTAAGGGGGCTGGAGGTAGTAGGTGGAAATTGGGAACGAATTCCCGTCTCCCCTTACACACTTTCGCCCTATTCGCACGGGAGACATTATTTTAAAGCACATTTTCGAGCACCTGTTATTTTCAAAACATGATACAAGAGTCCATGACAGGTAGAGAATCCACAACACCACACAATTCAAGGGTCCTAAGATCACTAATTCACTCAATCAACCAACACAATATGAAGAAGAAATGAGACTTCTTAAATGCATCAACATCCTCCATAGTGCTACACTACCTCCCTAGGTTGCAAATTACTATAAAGACTATCAATTCAAAGCATACTGGGCAGGCAATTGCAAGGAACACGTACTTGGAGCCCTCAAATTTAAAAATTTGGACAGTGGACTAGGCTCCAAGCACACAAACAGATCTAATGCATTCAAAAGATAAACATCCCCCCCACACTTAAGATCGACATTGCCCTCAATGAAGAAGAGGGAAGGAAAAGGGGAACGATGTTACTGGTATGCACGGACTGCAGGAGACTGGAAGCGGACTAGTCGGAGTGAAGCGGACTGGAGAGAGGACCAGTCAAGACAAGCACAGCTAAAGGAAACCAAAGAGCTCAAACACAATATGTTAGGTCCAATGGTCAGCTCAACAATACATCATCCAAAACAAAACAAAAACAAACCAAAACCAAACTGGTTTACAATCCGACTCAAAACACAAGAAAGAAAGTCAAACCGTGGTGGGGTTGCCTCCCCACAAGCGCTTCTTTACCGTCTTTTAGCTGGACGCCCATGGTGGATACTCAGGGAGGTGAAGGAACAGGTGCCTCCAAGAGCGGATCCACGTCGCTCTTGAGGTACAGCTTCAGGTTGTGGCCATGCACCCGACGAATGCAACCACCATCATCGGTCAGCTCGACCTGGCCATCCGGCAAGATGCAGGCGAGTGAGTACCCGGACGTCCAGGGCGGTCGTGGTGCAGGAGGTGGGACCAGCTCGTAGTGGTCTCCACCCTTCTTCCGTGCAGGCTTAGCAACCTGCTGTTTCGGCCGCCACTCCTCCTTGATCTTTTTGTTCGGAGGCGAGGCTGGATGGAGTGGCGGCGAAGGAATGATAGGAGGGTCCTGCAAAATGAGAGGTGCAGAAGGATACACGACAGGCTCGTGTACCTGATCAGAAATGGCATGCACAGGTGTGACAGCAATCATAGCACAGTGATCATATTCAGTCACAGAAAAAGTAGCCTGTTCATTCCCAGCACGCAGGATCAGTTTACCATCATGCACATCAATAAGTGCCTTGGCGGTGGCAAGAAATGGTCTCCCCAGAATCAAAGGCACATCCACATCCTCATGTATATCAAGAATAACAAAATCAACAGGATATGTGAATGCACCTACATTAACTAGCAAGTCCTCAATGATACCCCTAGGATGCACGATAGAACGATCAGCTAACTGAATGCTCATCCTAGTAGTTCTAGGTTCACCTAGGCCTAGCTTGTTAAACAATTTATAAGGCATGACATTTATGCTAGCGCCCAGGTCCGCCAAGGACTTGCCTACATGCATGCTGCCAATAGTAAGAGGGATAGTAAAACTCCCTGGGTCTTTGCGCTTTTCGGGCAGCTTGTTCTGCAGGATAGCAGAACACTCCTCGCTCAGCAACACTGTTGATAGATCCCCAAGTTTCTTCTTGTTGGTGAGGAGATCTTTCATGAACTTCGCGTACTTGGGCATCTTTGACAGTGCCTCCACAAACGGTATGCTGATGTTGAGCTGCTTCAACATTGCCATAAAATTGGCAAACTCAGTCTCCAACTTGTCTTTGTGTAGGCGAGTGGGGAAGGGAAGCTAGGGTACATGCTCCTTAACCACTGGTTGTGGCTTGGGAGCAGGGGCTTCCTTCTCCACCCGCACTTCTGCATCGTCTGCTGGAAGTGCTGAAGTAGGTAATGGTTCCTCCTGCCTGGGCGGGACAGGATCAGCAAATATGGTCTTACCGCTCATGGTAAAAATGGCATCCAGCTGCTGATGCTGGTGAGGATCACGAGGATTCGGAATAGTGGTGGCAGGCAGAGTCCCCGGTGCCCTGGTAGTGTTTTGGCGGGCCAAGATACCCACCTGGTGCTGCAGATCTTGCAAAATGGCACCTTGGTTCCTCTGACCTGCCTCCAGTGAGGCTATGCTCTGGTCCAACCTCGTGACAGTTGCCTGAGTGCTAGTCATGAATGAAGCTAGAATATTTTCCAGCTTTGTCATCCGATCATCTGGGGCAGGAGCTGCTGTTGGCTCGGCATACTGACGCTGGGGCTACTGGAATGGTTGCCCCTGCCGAGGCTGGTAGGGCTGCTGCTGTGGGGCTGGCCCTGTCTAGCCTGGAAAGGCTGCCTCTGCTCAAAACCACCGGCTGGTGCTGGAAAACCAGGTGGTTTAGTGGTGTTGCTGCTCCAGGCGAAATTGGGATGCTGGCGCCACCCCTCATTATATGTGTTGTTGTACGGGTCGAGGCGCCGAGCATTGGCGATGAAGTCCAACTGCTCTTGGGGAGTAGTAGACTCCCTCATAGCCTGGCAGTCTTCAACTAAGTGATTTGAGCTCTCACACCACTGACATTGAGCTACTGGAGGTGTAGCCAAACCTATGCCCAGAATAAGACTGTTGGGCTGCTTCAATGTCTGCACCAACTCAGCTACCTGTTGCTTGAGCCCGGATCTGGTCTCCATGGCGTGCACACCACGGTCCCGGGAATGTCTGCCTCTGTTGCTCTGTCCCCAAGAATGATCTCTGACAGCCAAGGTATTGATCATCTGGTTCAGCTCGGGTGGAGTCTTAGTAAGAATATCCCCTCCTGGGCATAGAGACTCAATCACCCTCTGGCTGTCCGGGGAGAGAGCACTGTAGAAGTTCCCCACTGTGAATGCATCACTAAAGCCATGATGGGGACACTGCCAGAATTATCCCATGTACCGCTCCCAAGCATCACGAAGTGACTCATCTGGCTCTTGGCGGAAGTGAGTGATCTCCCGCTGGATCTCTGTAGTCTTCGATGCCGGATAGTACCTATGCACGAATTTGTCAGCCAGATCGTCCCAAGAGGTGATGGACAATGGGGGCTGGGTCTCCAACCACCTCTTAGCATTCCCCGCCAGAGAATGGGGGAAGAGATGAAGGCGGATTGCATCATCAGGGACACCATTCAGCTTGAACCCGTTCGTCAGCTGCAGAAAACGGGAGAGATGCACCCTGGCCTCCTCATCCTTCAAGCCAAGGAACTGGATAGAGGATGTAATGAGCTGAATCCAGCATGGCTTGATCTCAAAGTTGTTTGCTGGAATAGGCGGGTAGAGGATGACCGGGCGGATGTCAGCAATCCGTGGAGTGTAGTAGTACTCCAAAGTGGGACCCGGCGGCGGTGGATGATGATGAACCCCATGATCCTGGGGTATGGGGTTGTTCCCCATGACCTGATTCACCGGGGGAGCCTGCTGAGGATCCCCCTGGTGTGGATTGTATTCTCCGTCCATCCCGTACTCTTTTCAGAATTGCTACTCAGGTGGCCGTCTATGCGCTCTTCCGTAGCCAGTCTAGCTCGCTGTTGTCTCCTGAGTTGGCGACAGGTGAGGTCAATCTCTGGATTCAACGGCAGTAAACCTCCCGACTGGCTACGGGTCATGCACTACCTGCACACACTCAAGCAAGCAAACCCGTGAAGGCCCAAGTGGGACAAAGCAAACAAAGCGAAAAGAAAAGCTAATTAACAGAAATCACTTTTCTTCAACAACCTAGCCGTCCCCGGCAACGGCGCCAAAAACTTGACTCACTTCTACTGTCACCCTAGGAATTGGCCAAGTGAAACCACTTCCTAAAGCGTAGTATAGCGGGTTTGGGTTTAAATGTCAACCCGGGTCCTAGATTTGATGACTACTCGGTGAATTGTTGTTATCTAGCAATGAAACTTTAATGCAAGTCTAAACTAACAAACTAACAAAGCAAGTAAACGGTTGTTTTCAGGTTAAGAGAGGTCACCCGGATATGGTTCCCCCTAGACTGCAGTTAAGTCGGATTGCAATTACCAAGTTCAGTTTCTATGATAGTTATACTGCGGAAGGTTCTCAAACAGCCTGAAGTCTCGACTAAAGGTCTTCAGACCCTCTCAATCTGAGTCTCTAGCGGGCGACTAACCTCCACCGGAGTAAACAAATTGAGGCCCTATGAACAAAACCTCCACTACCGAAGTGAATTCGGTACAGAATAGTGATTGGCTCCTCGACTAAAGTCACCAACTCCCTACCTTCAATCAAGGATGCTCTATCAACCTAGGCAGATATTCTCATTCTAGGTTAAAGCAGAAACAACAGGAATTTGATCAGGATTCATGCCATTCAATCATTCAAACCTCAATTGAATATAATCAAATCATATAATCAGTACTTGGGTTCATACAATCAAAACTAACATACAAATCTAGGGTTCTCCATACCCAGATGAATGGGAGAACTACTCCATGGAGAAAGAAGCAAAAGCAGAATCAGACGCGGAATTCATACTGTGAAGGATGGATTCCTGCTCCTGGACGTTGATCGGCACTTCTCCAAGCTCAAGCTGGCCTCCAATGGTGATGAAGATCAAGCTAGGGCACTTGGAGACTCTTGTTCGTCGCTTTCTCTCTCTAGGAATCGCCTGTCTCTCTAAAACTCGAATCCCTTGATTTTTAGCCTTCTTTTCCCTTAAAATTGCTGCCTGTCGCGATACCCGGTCGGGTATTTTGGGTCTCGACCGGGTATTATTAAAACGCACGTTTCATGTCAGGGGAAAATCCCCGGTCTGCTCCAATAATCCCCGGTCGGGGATTTAAGCTTCACGACCGGGCCCCCCTCTGTTTCTCACGGGTGCCCAAAATGATAAATACCCGGTCGGGTATTTTGCCACCTGACCGGGTATTTTCCTCCTGCAGCCCACTTCGTCCCAATTTGCTCCTTTCGACCCAGAACTCGTTCCTTCGCCTCGATTCCAACGCCGGGTCCTGAAATACGACATAAACACACAACCTCGCGTGAAATCGGCTTAAAACCCGAGAGTCAACCTCTCAAACAGCTCAAGAATAGGGGTGAAAATATTTGTAATTATCGGTCTATCAGTCATTTAGGAAGTGCCTGTATACTAAAATTACTTGGCTATGAACCCAACTTTTACGCTTCAATGACAATGAAGCAACTAATATCCACGAGAACACATTAATATCCGCTTGTGAAAGAGTTAATATTCATTTGTTTTGTACTGGTATCCATAATGCAAAATATCCATAATGCAAAATATCCATAATGAAAAAATATCCTGCTTTCATTCCAATATCCATAATGCAAAATATCCATAATGAAAAAATATCCAAAACAAATACACACCAATATCCTACTATCAACAGAAAACAATGATTGTTCGATACAACGATTGTTCAAAGCCATTCCAACATGGCAATTATATAATTCAATAAAGCTCCATTACAACCACTTAATGATGTTGAAACGTGCAAAGTTCAATTCTTGTATTGCTGGCGCTTAATGGCAACCCTTCGGACACTTTCCCGCCATGAATCCCACTTATGCATCACTTTTTCAGTCAAGGACTGCAGTACCTTAATCTACACATACATCCCAAAAAATTTAGTTTACTACATGCACCCGTGTCTACTAACCCCACGATTTCCAGTTTAAAAGACAATAATCTACATACCTCGTCGGTATCAAGGGACTCCAAGTCTGTTTCCTCCCACCATTCTGTCGTGTATAACTGCGGAGAAGCTGTATGAAGAGCTGAGCTGCTTGTTCCTGATTCCCACTCGCTCCTGCCACGTCCTGGAAAGAAGCGAGATCAGACTTCTTCTCTCGACAGCAACACGGGAGCCACATCATATAGCTCCGCCTTAGGGACAGCCAAGCATAGGTTATCCATCCTTGGTTCAAACCAATAACTGCAACTTGGTGACGTGGAGGCACATATGGCTTTGTTAGTATCTACTAACAAATATACCTTGTTTGGAAGTTGTGATTCTTCAAATTGATGTATTGGGACTAGGCCTGTCGGTTTGGTTCGGTTCGGGTAACCGAACCCGAAACCCGCAAAAATCGAACCCGGGTCACACAACCCAAAACCGAACCCGAAAATGTCCTTTGTGGGTTTCGGGTACTGGAACCCGAAAATTAGCCTGGCGGGTTCGGTTCAGTTTTTTCGGTTTCGTTTGAAACCTCGGAAGTCTCGCCGCTCCGGTCACTTCTCAGAACTCGGAGAAGAGGAAGCCGACGGTCATGGAGTGGTCGTCGCCGTCGTCACCGGCAGTCGAACCAATCAACTTCGGGAGATCACTCATCGTGCCCAGTGTTCAAGAACTCGGAGAAGAGGAAGCCGACGGTCATGGGGTCGCCGTCGCCGTCGTCACCGGCAGTCGAACCAGTCAACTTCGGGAGATCACTCATCGTGCCCAGTCTTCAAGAACTGGCAAAGGAATGCAATAAAAAGCTTCCTCCGAGGAACGAAAGGCCCCAGATCGAACCCCTCGTCTTCTCCGGTGACCTAGATTGGACGGTTCCAGTTATTGATCTTTAAAAACTTGCTTCCGACGATGAAAGGTCAATGGATTTCGAGTCTGAGTTGGGGAATCTACACTCTGCTTGCAAAGATTGGGGATTCTTCCAGGTAAACACCACAATCGAATCTACATTCTACACCCTCCAAGTTTTGTCCGTGTAGATGTAGTTTTGCTTGCTCGAACTGAATAATTTAAGCATCATTCGGTTTTTCGGGTTCCCTCTGGGTTTCGGGTTTATTAAACCGAAACCAACATGTAAAATCTCGGGTTGAAACCGAAAAAACCGAACCCGCAGACATTGATGGCGGTTCGGGTTCGGGTTAAACCGAAAACCTGAAACCATTTTGACAGCTCTAATTGGGACAATTAGTGTATTATCATTTGATAAATTGAATCAATTGATGTATTAGGTAAATATCTTGTTTGAGGTTTATATTGTGTTTTTGTTCCAAAGGTAAAAAAGTTAGTATTGAGTGATTGTGATGGGGCATCCAAAAAGTAAATACATATATTCTAGTTCTATATCAACCAAAAAAACGACTTAATATCACAAATACATAAATTAGATCAATACATCATTTGAAATCACAACTTCCAAACGAAAAGTTGCCATACTGCAACGTGGAAAAGATCGAATTTTTTTCCAGACAGGGAAAGAAAGAGAAAAGCTTTCAGACTGGAGGAGAAGAAGGAGAAGAAGGAGCAACAGATCAACGCTCGTCATAACGAGAAAGAGCGATAGTTTCTGAAATTTCCATTTCTCCATGTGTGGGGTTTCCCGCCAAACCAAACGACCTCCGACAGCCGCAGCAGCAACGAAGAACCGGGCTTCGTAGTCATGGCCGCTCGTCGGAGAACCCCGTTGAAATCATCGGTCTTCGCGGCCGTCATGTCAATCTTCCTATTTCGGTATTTCGCTCTATTTACCCGGAAGGAAACCCTAAGCCTAGTTTCCGAAGGCGGGAAGAACGAGACCGGGCGGAACAACAACTACATAGTGCGATTCAGGGAGTACAGGAAGGCGGAGGACCACCGGCGGTACTTAGAATCGGAGCTTGTATTGGGGGGAGGGTGGGAATGGATCGAGAGGAGGAATCCGGCGATGAAGTTCGCGACGGACTTTGGGCTGGTGGCTGTGGAGGCAACTGTGGTGGAGAGAGTGGTGGCGGAGATTGAGAAGTTGGAAATGGTCAAGGATGTGAATGTGGATGTCAGTTATAAGAGGGAATTGCTTGGTGTTTCCGGCAGCGGCGGTGGAGGTCGTAGTGGTGGTTCGTTTTCCGATGGGAGGAAACGGCCTGGGAAGATATTCACTTCCATGTCTTTCAGTGAAGATGAGGAGCAGCGTCACGACGCGGTGGCCGAAACAAGTAATTCTTCTATTCATTGGGGAAGGGAGCTGCTAGCACAGGTGAGTTCTTGTCATATGAGAGGCAAATTGATAAAAGTAGATTACTGAATGAATCAATCAGTAAATGCTGTTCTTGGTGCTTTCTGATTCGGTTGAACTTCCGGAGTTTGTAATTCCCTTGGTCCCATTGCTTGCAGTTGAATGGAGATTAGATGTGGTTTGATGTGAATTTGTCGATTTGTATTTATGTCTGCTGCCCGTTAGTTTGAAACTACACAGTGAAATTTCGAAGTCAAACTTGATTTCATAAGATAGCTGGTAGATTTCTTAGGAGCAGTAGTTATCTGATGGTACACTTGTTAGCAATGGAGTGATTTTGTTGCATTAATCTGCTTGTTGATCAACTTTACAAATTACAGTAATCGTTTCCATTTCTGTCCAATTGGTGGTTTCCCTTGGTATGAGCTAAAAAAAGCATTGCCAAACGCGTTTTATGTCAAGTTTCTTTTTCTGCATCAGAAGTCACAGGTGACTTCGTTATTCGGAGCCAATGTTCTGTGGTCAAAAGGTTATACTGGTGCTAAGGTGAAGATGGCTATTTTTGACACTGGAATTCGATCTGATCACCCACATTTCCGTAACATCAAGGTATTAAATTGCGAGGAGCTATGTTTTTCATTTAACGTTTCTATTTCTCTTTTACTCCAGTCAAAGGCTACATTCTTCAGAATTTGGTTTTTGTGGAGAAGGTGAAACCTTGATGTGCATTTTGTATACTGTCTCAGGAGCGTACTAACTGGACAAGTGAGGATACTCTAAATGACAATCTGGGACATGGGACTTTTGTTGCGGGTGTTATTGCTGGTCAAGATGATGAATGTCTTGGTTTTGCCCCTGATGCTGAGATTTATGCATTCCGTGTATTCACAGATGCTCAGGTAATTATGAGCTAGAAGTATGTTTTGTTTTACAAATTTACTGGTCTTGAGAAGATTATAGTGGCCTATCGTTTTGGTTCGTCAAGGTATGAAATACTTATTGAGTTGATGCATGGAGGACTAAAGCCAACAGCATTTTAGGTTCCAAAAGTTGCTTCTGGATTCTCATTGGACAGTAGAGTCAATTTTTAACGTCTAGATTAATGATTGCATGAAGTACTTGGTAGAATGTTGTATATGTTTTGGTGAATACTCAAATTGTTTTTACTTTTTGCAATTTGGTTGAGTGGTTAAACTTACCAAGATTATGAGAATTTTGTATTCAGCCTATTGCAGGTATCTTACACATCATGGTTTCTTGACGCATTTAACTACGCTATTGCAACAAAAATGGATGTGCTAAACTTGAGCATTGGTGGCCCTGATTTCCTGGACCTCCCTTTCGTTGAGAAGGTAAGACTTATTTTCGACGTTTGATAACTCTTGTATAAGCAGTTATTTAAATATTTAGGAGAGAACAACTGCTGCGCACATACACCCAGTTTAATTAGACAACAACCTCCCTGTCAATCATCATGTTCTTTATCATTTGAAATTCAGTCGTGGAGTGTCTTGCAATTCTATTTGCATGTATTCTAGTATTGCTATCATTAGTGTTTTCTTCTTTGTGTTTTCGTACGGAAATCTCTAGTATTAGTCTTATAGGCTGTTTTCCTTGATCCCAGTGTTCCTTTATTTCTTGACCATAAGATATGGGAGATAACAGCCAATAACATCATTATGGTTTCGGCTATTGGAAATGATGGGCCTCTTTATGGCACCTTAAACAATCCAGCAGACCAAAGTGATGTCATTGGCGTTGGTGGAATAGATTACAATGATCATATTGCCCCATTTTCATCACGTGGCATGAGCACTTGGGAGATTCCTCATGGGTAATCTATTTACTATTGTAAACAGCTTTGTGTTATAGCTTATGGCTGACGAAAGCTCCTGTTGGTAGAAGACTTGAATGCTGCGCTGTTCTTTTGTCTGCTCCTTGTTTCAGATGATTCAAGTATTAATGTTTTTCTGCATTTGTAGACTCACCATATTACCCAAATATTCATGAGTTTGCCCATAAATGCATTGCAAGCTCCGACTTTCTTCTGATACTGTTTTTAGATGGAGGTAGAGTAGAGGAAAGATATCTGTGGACCTTGATCATTTTCTGTCTATTATACTTTTCAGCTCTGTCTTGAAACTTCATTAGTTAGCCGTGAAAGGTAGCAGAAATAGTTGGGTAAAGTACCATATTCTTATTTTTTTTTTTGGGTAGTAGACATTGACCTTCCTTTTTCTAATTTTGGTTGATAGATACGGTCGTGTGAAGCCAGATGTTGTAGCATATGGAAAAGATATCATGGGATCAAAGATAAGTTCAGGGTGTAAAAGCTTATCAGGGACTAGTGTGGCCAGCCCTGTGGTTGCTGGTGTAGTCTGCCTACTTGTTAGTGTGATCCCTGAGAGTGACCGTAAGGCCATTCTTAATCCTGCAAGCATGAAACAGGCACTGGTTGAAGGAGCTGCTAAGCTTTCTGGTCCCAATCTATATGAGCAGGGTGCAGGAAGAGTAAATCTGTAAGTTCTCTTTTGCATGACAATTCACTTACCTGCTTTACTATACGAGCAACTATTCGTGTTAACTTTGGCTTCTTTCTCAGGTTGGAGTCCTATGAAATCTTGAAGAGTTATCAACCTCGGGCGACTATCTTCCCTGGTATTCTTGATTTTTCAGATTGCCCTTACTCGTGGCCATTCTGCCGCCAACCATTATACGCTGGGGCAATGCCAGTTATGTTCAATGCCACAATTCTAAATGGCATGGGTGTTATTGGCTATGTTGAAAGTCCTCCCATATGGAATCCCTCAGATGAAAATGGAAATATATTAAGCATTCACTTTACCTATTCAGAAATCATCTGGCCTTGGACTGGCTACATTGCACTTCACATGCAAATCAAAGAAGAAGGTGCACAGTTTTCTGGAGAAATTGAGGGTAATGTAACTCTCACTATCTACAGCCCTCCAGCTCCTGGTGAGAAGACTCAAAGAAGAAGCACGTGTGTTCTTCACTTGAAACTGCAGGTGGTCCCAAATCCACCGAGATCGAAGCGGATTTTGTGGGACCAGTTTCACAACATCAATTACCCTCCGGGATATATTCCGAGAGACTCTTTAGATGTTCGGAATGATATTCTTGATTGGCATGGAGATCATCTCCACACAAATTTTCACATCATGTTTAACATGTTAAGAGATGCTGGATACTATGTTGAGACACTCGGTTCTCCTTTCACATGCTTTGATGCTCGCCATTATGGAACGCTTCTTCTTGTGGATCTTGAAGATGAGTACTTCATAGAGGAGATCGAGAAGTTGAGGGATGATGTTATTAACAATGGTTTGGGATTAGCTGTGTTTGCTGAATGGCATAATGTGGATACAATGGTGAAGATGAGATTCTTTGATGATAATACACGAAGCTGGTGGACACCTGTTACAGGAGGAGCGAATGTTCCTGGATTGAATGATCTATTGGCCCCGTTCGGGATTGCTTTTGGGGATAAGATTTTGAACGGAGATTTCTCCATTGATGGAGAACAAAGTCGGTATGCATCTGGAACTGATATCGTGAGGTTTCCATTGGGTGGCTATGTGCATGGTTTCCCGTTCCTGGATAGCTCAGAGAGTGGTGCAACTCAGAATGTGCTGGTAAATTCAGGAACAGGCAAGGTATAAAGAATCTGAAATTCCATTAACATTTTCTTCTTATCAATTCCATATTTGCTGAAATTAAAGGGTCTATTTCCTTAAGCTGAAAAGACACCCAAGTCTCACGTTAATCCGTTGTCTCAAGTGGAGCAATTTGCATACATATTGTCACAATCAGCAAATAAGTCTCAATGAAATAGTCTGCAATTCAACCGAAAACAAAGGATCTTTGCAATGTGAAATAGTGTTTGGACTCATGGGTTTACTATGCTGTAATATGCTATGCAGGCGGATTCTCCAATTCTAGGCCTTGTGGAGGCAGGCAAAGGACGAATTGCAGTCTATGGTGACTCCAACTGTTTGGACAGCAGCCACATGGTCACCAACTGCTACTGGCTTCTCAAGAAACTACTAGATTTCACCAGCGCAAATGCTCGAGATCCATTACTCTTCTCCCAATCCTCGAAACAAGACATAGCCATCTACGTGGATGACAACCAGCTACCGTCGCGTAGAACAGATGTAAACT